TTGTGTACAGTAGTGGATGCGAGATATATGTAAAAAATACAGAAAAGTGGTGCAACATTTGCAAAGCAAAACTAAATGGCATTACAATGAGGAATAGCCAATAAATCCAGGGGGTCAGCAACAGTGTATCAGTGTTCAGCAGGGCAACTTCAGTTGAACAAAGTTGTCCCTGAACCTTGTGGTAACCCCAGAAGGCTCTACCACAGAAGACCGAAAGGGAAACTGTCTTCTAGCCGGGTGGTATGTCTTTAATGATGGGTGCGTTCATGAAACAATTCTAATGACTGTCCTGAATTACAGGAAGTGGGCAGCAGCGTTTCGCTGAGAGATTCTCATCACCTTCTGCAGCTCCTTTCCATCCAAGACAGAGCAGTTCATAGACCAGACTGTTGTGGAGTTGGTAGAGATGTTCTGGGATAATGGTAGAAGTTCACCGGGAAGTCTGAAGAAGAGTTCTGAGACAGGAGAGCACTTTTGGGGCACCAGAAATTTGCGACCAGACACACTCCACTGCCACACCGTTGATATCTGGACGGACGGGTGAGTATCCCATCTCCACCAATGTGATTATCAGTGTTCTGTGTGTTGAGCAGCGGGTTGTTCAGATGTAAAGACCTGAAACGTGTGAAAAAGGTGTAAAGATTTGAGTAGAAAAAAAACAAGCAGTACATAAATAAAAAATATATATATAACAAAAGAGAGGTATACATGTTGGACCAATTACGTGCAAGGCAGAGGAAACATTTTTCATTCCTCACAAGATTGCAACCTTTCAGTGACCCTTACTGGTCGGTTTCTCCAGAGAAAAGAAAAACCGGTGAGAAAAATGCTCAAGCTTAATTATGAAGGGGCTGGTGTGGCAGAGCTACAAGCCGTGGTTAGCTTCTGTCAACACTGGTGAGGTAGGAAGAAAGACTCTGTCATCTGGTGTACAACAAGGCCACTGTAAAAAAAAAACACAGTAATTATGAAGGTATAGATTTGTATCTCGGGAAAATGGAGCGGCAACACAGAAACCATTACAGCCTGGAGATTGCATCAGTAAGAAGGGCCGATTTTAGCAAATGAATAGTGGCGTTTACAAGTTATGCTATTTTTTTTGAAGAGGTGAGAGAGGCTGAAGGGGGTAAAACTGAATACACGGGTTCAGGGGGGTGGAGATACAGACAAAAGGACCTAGACAAAACACAACATGAGCGATAGAGCAGGCGCTGAAGGCGGCAGCAGATGGGGACACTTTGAGATGTTTATCATGGCCCACAGCTTCAGAGGGTTTGAGGTTTTGCAGATGAGAGCCCGTCGCTCAAGCCAGACTGTCCGCCGCCAGCATGTGTGTGTCCGAAGAGGCAAAGTGACCTTGGAGGGATATTGTTATAATGTAAACATTTGGGCTGTGGTGTGACAGCCACCGCGTTGGCCTCCGGCTGTGTTGTGGACCACGTCAACATTCTGCCCGTTTTTGCCCATTTGTCTTTTAGTTATGCTCAAAATATTTATGTTTACGCTGACTTTTTGTCAAAATTTCTCCTCCAGGTTCTTTAAACAATCACTACCTCCAAATAAACCAAGCAAATTTTTCTCCCTGTTTGGACTTAGTGACCTCACACTTGGGATGTAACAACGTCTGAATTTGTTCATTTTCCTGGATAAATTCCGGATTGTGACATCTTGAAATAAGGGGCAGTTTGATGACAATTTTGAAGAAATCTATAAGCACAATACTGTGTTAAATACCCAGAGGAAGGCCCATTAGAGACAGGGAACAGATTTTGAACTCTAATTAGATTTTCTCCATCCATTGCCACCTCAGCTTGCTAAACTGACTGAAAGCCAGGCGACAGCGTTGTTGCCACGGAAACATGGAGAATAGAAGAACAAGTGTGAAAGGCATGAGTCTGCTCCTTGTGTCAATCAGACAGCCATGTTGCTCCTGCTATAGAGGAGTACTGTTTACAGTAACTGGTGACCTTCTTCCCAAAAACGACTATGGTTGGTTGCTGGTCGCCATGGCAGCAACTGGGAAACCAGAGGAGCCGAGATTCAATCACGCTTTGTTTGTTTTTTTTGTTGTGTAGCGGGTTCAACAGGCAGCACCACTGCTTTCAGTTCATTTTCAGAAGGCTTTTCAACTTATTGATCCTTGATTAATTCACTAAAAGTGGTTTAAAAACAAGGGTGGCACTGTAGTGTGGTGGTTAGCACCATTGCCTTACAGCAAGAGGGTTCTGGGTTTGAGTCCCCCGGGAAACCAGGACCTTTCTGGGTTGGTTCGCTCCAGGTTTTCCGGCTTCCTCCCACCATCTGAAAACCTGAATGTTAGTGTGTGTGGTTATTTGTCATAGTGTGCATGGTTATTTGTCTCTGTGTGGCCCTGTGATGACTGTCCAGGGTGTACTCCGCCCATTGACTACTGGGATAGGCTCCTGCGTCCTCATTAGGGAATGAGCGGTTATGAAAATGGATGGATGGACATTAAGTTTCTTATTTAGCAGGTTTTTAGTCATTTTTAATTAAAGTTTACTTGTCATTGGCTTACATCCTTCATCTCAGTTTCCGCTCTCCCACCTCCAGTTGAGGTTTCAGAGCTTCCCCCATAAACGTAGGCCGTCTGCTGAGTTTATCTTTGTTCTTGTTTCCCACCAGATTTTTATTTGCTAACTGCCTTACCTGCATCTCGTTTGTCATTATCTCCCTCGCTATATGAGTAGCCGTGTGTGTTTCAGGGCTGACATTTGCTGCATTGTGTGGAAGCTGCTTTTGCCATTCGAGTTTTTGTTTGTTCACATTTAAAAACAAATTCTGGATAATGGTATTGAACTGAAGTTTGTTTGTTTGTTTTTCTCCATCACTTACATCAGGGGATGAATATGTTTTATTACTTCCTTTTTTTTTAGATTTACATAGAAACCACTCTGTGAGAAAAAAAGACACATTAAAGCCAATCATTCTTACTAAAGAGTGGACTTGATTCAATGAGCCAGATGGCAATAATTTCTCCTCTATTTTTCTAAGACTGTCTTGCTAACAATTGAACTTAAAACAATGGTGATTCTCAATACCATCAGTAATAAAATATATCCATGTTTAACTCTGTCCATATATGTTAATCAGTCTGTATGCAGCGTTATAATGTTAATGATAAAACACAGGAAATGTCATTCTGAACCTTCTCATTCAACATATTTTAGTGTCTGACCTTTATTTGATTATTTCCTCATTGTGTTTTAATGCCATCAAACAGCTGTAAAGAGAAATACAATTCATAAAGATAGGTGGCAGTATGTACAGCATTTCTTGAAAAATGTTAAATGCAAGTTCCAGTTTACGATTTTAGTCCAACTTATAGTGCCATTGTTGGGTCATCTTCATCAGCATAAAGCTACATTCTCCTCTACTTGTTTATTTATATCTTTTTGTCTTGTGAGTAAAAATAATAACTGCATCCTCTTGCCCTCGTCTGCAGGAGAAAACGTTAATAGTCCCATTATTACTAATGGATTGTTCTCATAGTTCACTCAGTGTGTCCTCCTGCCTCTCTATTGTCTTTGGTTTGTGGGAAGCTGCTAATGCGGCGCCAGTATCAGCTTAGGTAAACTGTTATGTCTAATGACAAACCCATCTGGACAACAACAGCAAACAAAAGCAATGAACTGACATGAAAAAAATCAACAAAGCCAATGTATAGGCAATTTATTTTTTTATTTTTTTTAAAGGCTCTTTGACAACACTTAATTACCCAGAGGACACTTTTAACCACCTTTTCTCTTGGTTGGTCACCATTTTCTGCTAAATAAACATTAGAACGTTTAAACAACAGCTGATTGGGACTCCTGGGTGTAGATGATGTAATCATACGGCTTTGGGTTTTTATTCTTCACCACTATGCAAACATACCGTCTTTATACATGTAGCTACTTTAGATCAGTTTCCTGGACTCTTACTTAAACCATAACCACTGTTTGCCAAACAATTTTCTGGACTTAAGCCACATCTTCAGCCTGAAACTGCATGTTTTGTCAGGAGAACTTGTCTTTCTCATGACTGTCTAAAAAATGTATACTCTCCTAAGTACTCCCTCTGATCCACTCCTCTGCTGACTGATCCTGCAGAGAAAAGGGAAGGAAACGCTCACTTACACACAATCAGCTGATGTTTCCTGTAAAACGACCTTATGTCTGCTGCGTAAGCCCGCTGCTGTTGCCGTAACAATGTCTGTAACAATGTCTGTAGCTCATCAATAAACCATTTATCGAGTGGCAAGATGGATAATTAAGATTCATGTAAATCATTGGCCAGAATACTGAAATCTCAGTCAAGGGCAAGATTTCCCCTAAAGCCACCCTGTTAATCTGTCCTCACACATGACAGCAGCAAAGGGCAGCGGTCCATGGCAAAGAGACTTTGATGGTCATAGGCTGACATCTGCTGGACAAAAACACAATTTCATGTGGATTATTTTAAAGAATAGGATCATTTTAAAACTTTTTCTGCAATTGATTTATTTTTTAAGTTGATATTCAAATTATGAATTTACTTATTGAAACTTACCGTAACTATACAATCATAAAACATTCCCATTTAGATATTCTTATTGGAAATCTGAGAAATCCTAAAAAATATTTAACAGTGAAAGATGGAAAATGAGAAGTTGAAAGGACAAATAAATTGTTCTCCAATCATGCAGTGACATTATTAGGTAAGGTAAGGATTATACGACCTTTTTTTGTTTTAGCAATTACATTTAAGTCGTTTTCACAAGGGAATAAATCTATCTATATAAAGTGAAAGCAAATTACACAAATTTGAATGTTTAAGTACATCGTTTGAATTTAAAGTGACAGTATGCTTTGTTTTTAAGATTAACAATTGAATTTTAAGAGATTACGATGGATTTGGGATTAAAGATTAGCAGCTAACTAAAATGGTAATATTGATAAAGTAAAGTTATGTTAATCAATAAGTTCATTTACAGCTGCAGTTTTCTAATAATCGACCAGACATCAACAAGACCAGCAACAGTTGTCCAGACGAAAATGTTCCCATATTCCCAAATTTTAGATAACTTTTTCCTTACTTTACATATATATTGTGAACGTTTATTTTCCTTATCACTGTCGTTATATGCTTTGCTTTGATTACTTGTTTGATGTAAATCAGTCCCAGAACTTCAGTTAGGCAATCAGGTGGGTCGAAGGATTGTTGATGTTAAAGCTTTTTGTTGGTTGAATAAAAAAAACGCTGTTTTTTTTCTTGCTTCCATTTGTATTTTTATTGCACAATACAAAAAAGAGTTTCTGTAGACATACTTGACTCGTGACTAAAGGAATCTCCGCCCCACCGGCGTATTCTACAATCGCAAACGAGTACGCTAAACACAAAAAGGACGTACCCATACTTCAATTAACCAACCAAATTCGTCCGATGCCGGCCAGGTCGCACCCTATTGGCTGGAGCTCTGCTGGATCCAAGTGATAACATTTCCGCGTTGACACTTTTCAATCCTCCAGAGCTTGTGGGCGTGAAAGGTTCTTCGCTCCACGTTTGGCAGGTTTTTCGGGATTTTACGGTTCATTTAAATTGTCCTCCCTGTTGTGTGAAAGCAACATGCAAGCACTAAGGTGAGTACTCTTTTTGAATTTTGAATTATTCCCCTCATACTTAAAATGTTTTACCGTTTTGGTCGTTAGTTTCAAGTGTTCGGTAGAAAAAACCCACACAACCTTTAGTTTATGTAACAACTTAAATGAGTCAACACAATTTCTTGTTGATAAGCGGTTCTTTTACGGCGTCTTAGGCGGATGTCAAACTTTCATGCTGTTTCGTAAACTGTTGAGTGGTTTCCTGGTTGCTTGGTTGATTGAGACATGTTCTGTTTCAGGAATCTCTTTCGTGCTGCCTGGTCCTCAGATGTGAGGCTCGATGGCAAAACCGTGCTCATCACAGGCGCCAACACTGGAATTGGCAAAGAAGCTGCCATCGACCTGGCAAAGAGAGGTAAATGCCCGCGAAAAAAAAAAAAAAAAGATGGCTTTGTTTGTGGTTGTGTTTTAGGACTTTTAGATCCAAAGCCACGAGGAAAACGACAATCAATCCAACAGTCAAATTACGTTTTTGTGGCACATTCTAATATGATCCTGTCGACTAAATGTGGCCTCATGTTCTCCAAAAGCACCTTCCATAAACAAAATCTACTTTTTTCATCAATACTGAAGTACTGACTGTCACGTGGAACCAGTTTGGTTACCACAATTTTAGTCATAGCTTTGGCATGATGTGCTAAAACTGGGGGGAGGGCAATTGTAAGAAGTACAGTTATGAAAGGTGTTATTCACACAAAAGACCTGCTGTGTGTTGATGATTCAGGTTTTTTTTACTGTAGATTTGAACGTCCTGAGGGTGTCAGGAAGCTCTCTGTGACGTGCATTTTCTTCTTCTATTAATACAACTGGGGTCAGGTAGATCACAGCAGTCTTTTGTAGCCCCTCAGAGGGATGAACTTTTTTAAACTCTCCATCGAACGATGGGAGCGGAGCTAGGCCACAAACCCACAGTTTAGTTCGGCTGCAGATGACCCAACAGAATGGGACGCACATGGACCTGATCCCTGAAGGGAACCCTTTCTCTCTGTGAGCAGTCGGGGCTCACGCGCACACCCCCCCCCCCCCCCCCTCCACTCCTGGAGTGCAGACCTGGACCGACACCGGGAGAATTCTGAGTTCTGCCCCAGAGAAAAGGGCTGTTGTCAGAAAATCCTCTGACATTTCCAGCAGTATAAATTCCTGACGGTGTTTCACAGCTGCATCAGCCCCCGGTGTAGATAGTTATTTAGTGTCTAGCTGGAGTGTGTTCCAGAGGAAAAATTTGGCCCATTTTAACACTTCACTGTATTGACATCTCAAAAATTAAGTTAAAAAATGAAAAAGCATTCCTACGAAAGGAAACACAACAATCTTAAAGGCTCTGTATTTTTTAAAGTGAGTGTTTTTAGGTCTGATTTGTCTTCTTTAACATAATGTATTGACCACTTTTTGTCTTCAGGGGGTGCTAATGACTCATTTAACTTCAGGCTCCCTCCATGTCTGCAGATTCTCTCTAACTGTTTACAGACACTGAATTTACCTTTAAGTGGCTTTTCTTTCACCTTTCTTTCCAGGGGCTAAGGTAATTCTAGCGTGCAGGGACATGGAGAAAGCACAGGCGGCCGTCAAAGAGATCATCCAAAGTTCCGAAAACGACAACGTGGTCGCCATGAAATTGGACTTATCAGACAGCAAGTCCATCAGAGAATTCGCCGAGGCCATCAACAGAGGTCCGCTCGACTTGTGGCTCAGAATACTGAAAGAGGAAAAGTGCCTGAAAGCTGCCGTGGTTTACCTCCTTTTGTTTTTCTTTCTGCAGACGAGCCGAAACTCAACATCCTCATAAACAACGCCGGAGTGATGGTTTGTCCTTTTGGCAAAACGGCAGACGGCTTTGAGATGCAGATTGGGGTCAATCACATGGGTAAATGTCGCCAGTTCCTGCTGTCGCGTGACACCCGAGGTTTTCTTAAAAGAAATTAACTGTAGCTTTTAGTAATCAGGGCCACGCTTTGCCAGTTGTGTTAACTGCTTGTTTATACTTTGACCCTCAGCTGTGGGGTGTCGGGGAAATAGGATTTTCTTAATATGATTTCCACCGAGAGGCCCAGTAAGGCTTTCTTTGCCTTTGCGTTGCCACCACTGCATAACTTTGAAGTTGAACCATATTCTGGAAATAAAAATCAGCCATTTTGGGTCAAACCGGCTGAAACTTTGAATGCACAATGATCATCACCCGAATATCAGTTCAGATGTGATTAGGTTGGGGCTAATTTCAGAGTTTTTGCAAGCTTGTCGGATGGGATACAGTTTTACTTCATTTATCAAATCAAGGGGAAAAAAAGTTTAAAATCCTATTGAGTGCATTAAAGATGATCTTTCAAAAATCCATGTTCTTAAACCCTAGAATCAAATCTAAAAGTCTTGCCTTCTTCTCCAGGTCACTTCCTGTTGACATATTTGTTGATTGACCTGATTAAAAAATCAGCTCCGGCCAGGATCGTCACCGTGTCCTCCATGGCTCACGCCTGGGGCTCCATCAATCTGGAGGACATCAACAGCGAGAAGTCCTACAACAAGAGCAAAGCCTACGCCCAGAGCAAGCTGGCCAATGTGCTCTTCACCCGCTCGCTGGCCAAAAGACTGGAGGGTAAACGGCCTAAGCCCTGTGTAGTTCTAGTCTGAGCCCTGAGTTGTGTTTCACCTTGCTAATGGCCGGCGTCCCTCCGTGTGCAGGCACAGGCGTGACGGCCTACTCGCTGCATCCCGGAGTCGTCCAGACGGATTTGTGGCGTCACCTGAGCAGCCCGGAGCAGTTTGTCATGAAGATCGTCAGTCCTTTTACCAAAAACTCCGTCCAGGGAGCCCAGACCACAATTTACTGCGCGGTGGAGCCCTCGCTGGACAAGGAGAGCGGTGGATACTACAGGTACGCACAAAAGGAAGCCCCTTATGTTTTACCCCATCAAATGAAGAGCCGATGAGATAACGTGGCATAGAAACCTGCCCTGTTGCTGACTTATCTCGTGTCTGGTTGCAGTGACTGTGCCGCGGCCAGCTGCTCGGCGGCGGGAAAAGACGACGACCTGGCGCTGAAGCTGTGGGAGCTGAGCTGCCGTATGCTGTCCGTCACGTGGGAATAAGGCAGCCAGACTTGAAAAGAGTCTCGACAGCCCGTTGGGTTTTTTTTTTTTTCCTGGCCAATGTTTTATCTCCCAAGCACTACCTGCCAAGAAATGTTTGTCTTAACATGGATGTTGTTGCACTTTGTTTCTTTGTGTAAACATTTCCAAATGGTTTTAAGAACTCAGTATTTCCAGGAAAAAGTTCTATTCAGAGTATTTTATGTTTATTTTAAAGAGGTTTCTGCCAATTTTTTGACATGTTTTAACTGTTTAAAGTTTAATCCTTTAGACTAAAGAGTTTAAGAGAGTCTGACTTCAGGGATTTTAAAGTACTTGAATTTTTACAATAAACTCTTATACATTTTTTGATGGTCTGTCTTTTCTGAGGCTTTGTTTGACTTGAGTGAGCATAAGCAAAAGTTAGAATTCTGTAGCCACAAAAAACTAAGTTTTTTTTTTTTTACATTTAGGCAAGTTTGATTAAAACCGGAAAGCTTCCTTTCGCAGTTTTTCAAAGCTTTTGCTCAGGATTTGTTCATATTCTGCTTTCACCCCTTCAAATATCTAAACAACCAAAGCAGGGCTGCATACTGTGACATGCCTTACTTGCATTGATAACAAATATAATATTGTAGACATTTCTCAACTGAAGCAGTGTGTAAATAAATTAACATTTCATGTAAAAAAGATTAGATCAGATCATTTAATAACTAAAACTAGACCAGGTTGCTGTACAGTGTCAGATATTAATTAAACTTGGTCCTATCGTTTGTGAGGCACCATAAATGCGTGCAGTGAAGTCCTTCATCTCCATGGCCACGTATACAATCGGTTATTAATGTTTAATCATGAAAAGAAGCTGGCTATAAGAGCAGCCGTAACTCTGGCAGTGATACAATCAGAATTATATAGGAGGGATGGATGGATGTAAGATCGGAATTCAAGTGGTGGTTTTGTTTAAAAGGTTAGTTCAGACACAAGCAGGTTTGAGAAGTGATTCTTTTTTCTTTTTGGTGTGATGATGCTTGGAATCTTGCTTAAGATTTATGACCTTCTTTGTTTCCAGTCGTCTGTCAGGATGGATGAAAGAGAAGACAGCATTGCTGTGGTGGGGATTGGATGCAATTTTCCTGGAGGTAAAGAAAATTCATGAGCTGATCGTATGAAAGTTCTAAACGACTGCCGAAGATATCAATTTAGACCATTTCTTGTACATTTTAGACCTGCAGAAATAAAAACGGGTTACATTTTTTTTGCCTAAATCCTACAAACTAGCTTAGATGTGAATATCTTTGCACCTTTCTTTGGAAGCATTTTTTCAGTGCATGGGTTTTATTGAAGAGGAAGGTCTGAACACCATTTCTACTCATATTTTTGCAACAGGAGAGGGACTTGACAATTTCTGGAAGGTTCTGTTGGAAGGAAGAAACTGCACCGTGCCTATTCCTAGGGAGAGATTTGACTTAGCGAGGTGGTATGACCCTGATGACACCAAAGCGGGTAAATCCCGCACAGCCAAGGCGGCTCTCATTGATGGGTATGAGCTTTAAACCTTTTCATTCAGTGCCTGCTTTTTTATTAATGTGATCGTACTACATGGATAACAACTGGTGGGATTCCAACATCTGAGTCTGTGTGATTGAAATGGACCAGAGATCTTAATATCTCTTAATCTCCTTCAGTTCTGGTTGGATAATTGAAACGTATCTGAGTTATGGGTTAGGGGGCCTATCTGGATCAGAATTGTCTAATAAAATGTTGAATATATCTTGTTACTTGTATATGTCTTGAGGATTTTGAATGGATTTTGCAGGTTTAATATGTTTGATCACAAGTTCTTTGGCATAAGTGACAGCGAAGTGGAACAAATGGATCCTCAACAAAAACAGCTCCTCCAGTGTGTCTATCGGGCTTTAGAGAATGCTGGACTTCCCATGGAGAAAGCCAGTGGCACCAGGACTGGAGTGTTTTTTGGTATGAAAGATAAACTGTTGTTTTTATCTCGTTGTTTTAATATTTCTATGAAATATCACAGGTTGGAAGCGTTGCACCTCTTTAATTACGTTAAACTCTGACTATTCTCCATCTTTATATTTGCTTTGACAACAGGGATAATGAACAGAGATTATGAAACAAATTGTGCACACGCGCACCCAAGTGTGATTGACCACTGGACCGGTACAGGGCTCGCCATGAGTATTGCAGCAAACAGAGTCTCCTACATCTTCAACTTCACTGGACCCTCACTCTCCATAGACTCTGCCTGTTCATCATCCCTTGTGGCTCTTCATCTTGCCTGCCAGTCTATCAAACGAGGTCTGGAAAGTAATTCCGAATCACCTCTGTGGTAATAGTAGAGGACCCAAAGAGGCAACAAGTGGACCGGGCACCATAGAAAACCAGTATTATTCGAAACATATCAATAAAATGTTTTTGAGTGATATAAAATGTTTTGTCTTATCAGGAGATTGCGACATGGCTGTAACTGGAGGGGTCAGCTGCATATTTGAACCAAGAGTGTTTGTAGCGCTCAGTAAGGCGAAGATGATCTCACCAGAAGGGACCAGCAAGCCCTTTTCCAGCAGAGCAGATGGATACGGCCGAGGGGAGGGCTGTGGGGTCGTTCTCCTAAAACCACTAAAAAAGGTTTGAATTTGCAATAGCGCAATAAAAAATAAAATAATTTGCTGTTACTTGTCTTTCCATATTAAACACATGGGAGGTGACACTTTGGTTCATGTTTTAAAGTTATTTTCCTTTGAGGCTGTGAGGGATTAGCTCTGAACATGACTGTTAACTGTGAAGCTTCCCTCTAAATATCAGGTTAATGAAGCAATACATGTATTTATTCCCTTTCACAATGAGATGGGCTTCTGAAGTTTCCTTTTAGGCAAAGTGAGGCCATTTATTTGTATAGCACATTTTGTGTACAAGATCATTCAAAGTGAAATGCATAAAACATAACAAGAAAGAACAATGCATTAAAAATGGAGAGTTTAAAAGCAGAAAATTAAGAATAAGTTGGAAATAAAATAATCATTGATTAAATAGATTAAAAGTTTGTTGTCATATGCACAGTTATGCACACGGATTAGTCTGGTTTAACAATGTTATGACCTTTTTTCATGATGGTTTCAACGTTGTTCTTTTATAGGCTCTTGAAGACAATGACTACATTTGGGGCATCATCCACAAAACTGCAGTCAACCAAGATGGACACTCAGTCACTCCCATCACCAAACCCTCCATGACGCAACAAGAGGATCTGCTGACTAGGGTCTACTCAGACTCTGACATTGTAAATGTTCAGTACATTGAAGCTCATGGAACTGGAACCCCAGCTGGAGACCCTATAGAGGCAAAAAGCATCTCCAATGTCATTGCAAAAGCCAGACCTTCAGGTTTGGAGACACTCAGAATTGGCTCTGTAAAAAGCAACATCGGGCACACAGAGTCTGCAGCTGGGGTAGCCGGACTTATTAAGGTTCTACTAATGATGAAGCATGAGACTATTGTACCATCAGTCTTCTATTCTGATGAGACCTCCAGTGTTGATGCGGGTGCCCTGAACATTAAAATTCCCACAGAAACAGAAAAATGGGAATCTTCCACTGCGAGACTTGCAGGTGTGAACAACTTTGGTTTTGGAGGAACAAACGCACATGCTATTGTCAAACAACACATACATTCTCATTTTGAGCAAAAAAGCGCAGAGAGGCAAGAAAAATATTTTGTCATGTCTGCAAATTCATTGAAATCTCTCACTATGATGATGGAGGACACCATGAGACAGCTGGAGGCGATTCAAAAAGTTGATCTAGATTCTCTGTTGTACACATCAGCTTGCAGAAGAAGCCATCAAAAGCACAAATACAGAAAGGCCATTTTGGTGGCGTCTGTAAATGAGCTCACAGAGACGCTAAAAGCAACTGCTGGCGAAAATGTGAGCCCAGCCCTCTCACATCCAAAACTTGTGTTTGTCTTTTGCGGAAATGGCGTCACTTACCACGGCATGTGCGGGCAGCTGCTGAAAAATGAGCCTGCATTCAGAGAAAAGATCAAAGAGATTTCAGACCTTTTTCAAAGTCTGAGCACCCTGAACATCCTGCACACTCTTGAGAATGAGTTTGAGAGCACTGGCCTCAACAGCCCAGATGTTGTCCAGCCGCTCCTCTTTACAGTCCAGGTTGGGATTACAACCTTACTTGGGCAGTGGGGCATCAAGCCCGACGCCATGCTTGGACACTCTGTTGGCGAAGTTGCAGCTGCTCACTGCTCTGGCCTCTTGTCTCTTGAAGATGCCTTGAAAGTCATACACTACCGCAGTACCCTACAAGCCACGGTCACTGGTGGGAAGATGCTTGTGATCAGTAACATTCCTGTATCGCTGATAACTTCTTCACTTCCTCAGTACTCCGGGAGAGTTTGTCTTGCTGCTTTTAACAGCCCGCAGTCCTGCACCCTCTCAGGTGATGCAGATGCAATTGAAAGCATCCACCAGAAGCTCCGCAACTCAGATAACAGTCAGAGTCTGTTCTTTCATGTCCTGGATGTCCCTGCTGCTTACCACAGCCACATGATGGACCCAATCCTGCCAAAAATAAAAAACACAATTGGAGTCTTAAAGGAGCGGGACCTCAACACAGAGTTGATCTCTACGGTTACAGGCAAACACGTCCAGCAGGGAGACTTCTGCTCAGGTGAATACTGGGCGAGAAATATTCGTGAGCCTGTTGCTTTTGAGCAAGCAGTGAGGTCTGCAGCCGAAGGACAGAAGAGTACAGTCTTTGTAGAGATAGGACCAAAGCGGGCACTACAGAGAAACATTATGGAAACCCTTGGAAACAACACGGCAGTTCTTGCCTCGGTTGAGCCCAACAAAGATCACAGATCCGTCATGACTGTTGTTTCTAAAATGTTTGAACTGGGCATTCAGGTAGATTGGAACACCTTCTACAAAGGTTTTGAGACAACACCGCTGCCATTTCCAAGATACCACTTTGATTGCACTGACAGGGATGTGATCATCGGAGCAGCTCAGAATAAAAAAACAAGCAGTCATCCTGTTCTCTGTCAGACTGGAAGTGAGAGCGACAGTTTCAGCTGTGATCTCACATCGGAGTCCACCTTCTTCTTAAAAGAGCACAAGCACAACAACGTACCCATCGTCCCCGGCTCCTTCTTTGCCGAGTTGGGTTTAGCTGCATTCCTGGCCCATGCTAAACCAAAGGTTCCCCTCAACTCACTGCAACTCAATGTCAATTTTCTGAAACCCTTCACTTTAAGCCACAACTCACCTGAGATGAAGGTGCAACTAGTTAAAAAAGATACAGAAACTAGCTTCACTGTGTTCTCTTCATCTGCTGTGTATGCATCAGGCACAGTGGCTTCAAAGAAAGAGAGGCTGATTGAAGAACAGAGCATTTCACTGGGCTCCATCTTAAAAAGATGCACATCTATGATGAGCTCTCAGGATTTCTATAACTATCTCTCTCAAGGAGGCTTTCGGTATGGATACATCTTCCAGAATAAGGCAGATGTGCACTATGGGGAAGACCTGATGGAGGCTTTTGCATCTGTCATTGTTCCAGAGGAGCTGCACCCTCATTTGCATGACTACTACATTCATCCTGTTGTGTTGGATTATCTCATGCAGCTTCTCCCAGTCACTGTACAGCACGTCTTTAATGGTAGACAAGGATTTCCTGCAAAAATAAGAAGTCTGACAGTATTTGAACCTTTTCAAACTGAGATGATAGTCTACCTGAGAGCAATGGATGTGGGTGTTGACCAGTTTGAGGTATCTGGTTGCTTTGCAGACAAGAATGGCAAAGTGTTGGTTGAGGTCAAGCATGTTGTAATCAAGTACCTTGGCAGTCACTCTCATGTGGTTGAGGAGTACTTCTACCATAATGTTTTCAGTGAAATCCATGAAGGGGTCAGTTCTTCTCCACCTCCAAAGGCTTTGGTCTTCTCTGACCCTCTGGGGATCTCAACAAGTCTGGAACAACATCTTGACCCAAAATCTCAATATGTTTCTTTCAGGCATGCCGAACATATCCTGAGCCATGGACTTCTTTCTCTCATGGAGAATCTGAACATCACAGACATTGAGAAAAACTTTGATGAGGTGTTATTTTTGTGGGGTAAAGAAGACCTCACTTCACTATCTGCTGATGTCGTCTTGCAGAATCTGGCAAGCTGCTGTGAGATTTTCCGCCAAATAGTGGTCGAGCTGAAGCGGATTCACTTTCCGAAAGCGATTAGAGCTGTAACCTTATGCTCATCTGACCTCACTGTAGATCACATAGGTCCAGGCTTTGCTCTTGCTGGTATGACCAGGTCATTTGCTGCAGAGATACCTGAACTTTCTTTTCAGCTGATTGACATAAGCAGTATCTCTGACAAGGACATTGCAGCTTTGTCTGAAATCCTGAGATCCTATCCGTGCAGCAACAACCCAGAGTTGGTGGTAGAAGATGGGCGGATCTTGAAACCTTCCATTGTCCACACCCCATTGGAAATCCCAGACAATACAGAAGGCAGTTACACTTCTGCAATGCTTGAACCGTGCATCTTTCAGACAGCGGATGCAGAAAAGATGAGTCAATTGAGCGCTCTTTACTCTGACAAGGAGCCCAGTCCAATCAGCCACTCGTCTGTTGAAATTCAACTAAGTAAGATTTGTGTTCATTCATCTGATTACTTCCCTGTCAGTGCTTCACATCTAAAATTTGGTCAGACGTTGTACTGGGAAAAACACACAACTCAGAAGCACAACCTGCTCGCCCTTGACTTCAGCGGTATCATTACTGCAGTTGGAAAAGACGTCAGGAAACTGAAAGTTGGAGACCAAGTTGCTTCTTGTTACCCCGTTGTGGCTGCTGGTAAGGTCAGAGTTCCAGAGGATGTTTGCTACAGCACCAAAAGGCTGTCATTCCTCCAAAAGACACCATGTGTATCTTTCATTGTGCTGGCATGGGAGATCTTGCACAATGCCTTGCCAAGTACCAAACAGAATTTAGGTATCCTGTGTTCTGTAACAGACTCTGCTCTGGTAAAGATCTTGGCTCTTGCATCTTACAAATCAGGTTGGAATGTGATTATTGGTACACAGTGCGATCACTTCTTTGTAAATGTGAGTCAAGTGGATACATTTGTCATTCTGCCACCAGTTGATGAATCATTGATTGATCAAATTTGCAACTTTCCAGGGGTCAAAGATGTTGTTGTTGTCTGTGGATATCAGATGCAAAATTTACTTGCTAAGGAACTGTTCCACAGCATTGAGAGCAGTGTTTATGTACAGATGATTCAGATGCACATCATTTTACAAAAAGGATACCTGAGAGCACACAGATCCCACATTCATCACTGGCTGAAGGCCCTGAACCTGAGACAGGACTTTGCTTTGGAAAGCTTCACCTTTCAGAATATGAATTCTGAAATCAAGGATCTTCATTCAGAGAAACCACAGTCATACTTCAGTTCAAATCAACTGGCCATGGTAGCTCTGGAAAAAGATGCTAGTGGTTCCTCATCTGACATTCCACTGATCCAATCAAAAAAGCAGCTCTTCAAAGAAAGATCTGTGTACATAGTGGCGGGTGGTCTCTCAGGTCTGGGCTTTGAAACAGTCAAGTTCATCTCACAAAGAGGCGGCAAACTCATAGTTATCCTCTCCAGGAGCAAGCCCACACCCGAAGTGCAGCAAGAAATACACAAAGTGGAGAAACAGTGCAGAAACAGCATCACCAGCATGGAGTGTGACATATCGGTGTCTGCACATGTGCACAAGGTTATCAGTGTCATTGGAGAGAAGTTCCCTGATTGTCCAATCAGAGGAATTTTCCACAGTGCAGTTGTCTTGCATGATGGGCTGATTGAGACTCTTAACAAGTCTCTTTATGAGAAGGTTCTCAAACCCAAAGTAAATGGTGTACTGAATTTGCACCATGCCACGCATCACTGCCGTTTGGACTACTTTGTGTGTTACTCCTCCATCTCAGCTTTCCTGGGAAATGAATCACAAACAAACTATGCAGCAGCTAACGCATTCCTTGACATGTTCTGTCAGTACAGGCGAAAACTAGGGCTGCCAGGTCAGTCTATCAACTGGGGGGCACTGAATCTGGGACTGCTCCTGAACAAAGAGCATTTCCAGCGCTTCCTTGAGGCAAAGGGGGTCATGGTTTTAGACGTGGCAGAGATACATAAAAGCTTAGAGCAATGTCTCATTCTCAACCGACCCCAGCAAGCTGTTTGCAGGTTTAACTTCAGGAACATCAGGTACAATATCCGTTCCCAAAATGCGGCCTTGACCATGCGCCTCTCCAAGTTAGTTGAAGAGGCCTTCCAGAAATCCAAAGAGGTGGTTTCTTGGACTAGACAAGCCGATTGCATTTCACCAAGAGAGTACATCATGTCTCTGCTCAGTAAGATCATCCTCATAGAACACAGTGAATTGAGAGATGAGTCACTGCTTTCATCCTTAGGCGTTGACTCAATGCAGGCCATGACTCTGCAGAATCTGATCTATCAGGAGAGAGGTTTGAAAGTGCCTTTAGTGAAACTTTTGGATCCCAAAGCCACATTGTCAACAGTGGTGGCCATGCTGAGTATGGGATTAGAGGGGGGAAAAGACAGAGAGATTCCTGAAGCTGGCGACATGGGCGATGTTTCAACCAGATTGTAACCCCTGGCGCACTGTCAGTCCACACAGCATGATTTAGCTTTACAGCTCAGATTTAATAAAAGAAAACGACATGCTGAATTGTTTTCCTAACACTGCTTGTTCAGATTCTATTGCAAGCCATTCCTCTTCAATAATTTTGTGTACATTTTATGAACTTTTTTTCTGACCATACATTGTTTTCCCTCACTTTTTAATATGTATGTAATTTCTGAAAAGACTACAACAGTCAGCATATGAATGAATAGATTAAATATTTGGTCATTTATATGAAATGTGAGTTGCTATGTATGCTATTTCAATAAATATGAAAAATGTTCCTTTTAAGTCTCTGTGTCTCCGAATTCTGTCCATACATTAATACCATCTAGCACAAGTAATGATTTTATGATGGAAAATTTGATTCAGCATTCTGGATTGTCCCATAAATGATTTGTTGGTAGCAAATAAGAAGAATGATTACTTTGTTGATTGGTCCAGAGATTTATTACATGTGCTGGACACTTTTTTTTCCCTGAAACGCAAGGATTTGTACACCCTGTAAAAATACAGAATGATGATACAATAAGATTTTTCTTAAGTCTTAAATCAGAGCTTTTTTATATAAATATGGCATAACCAGATAACAATATTTATTATGACAGCAGTTGGATTATTAGCTATCAGGACCTCATAGTTGTCTTCAAGAATCTTATAATGCTTTAGACACAATTTAGTAAAGTTTATTTATACAACAGGCAAAAATCTCAAAGAAAATAAGACCATTAAGACAATAAAAGAGATAACAGACAGTATAGATTGCAAAAAAAAAGATCAAAAACCTTCTTTAGCTGAGAGCATTTCTAAAAAAAACGCAAGGATTCAACTAAATCCAATGTAAAAAGCAGGAAATTCATTCCTCAGTTGAGATGTTGAGTGTGGAACTGTTCACATTCTCTGGATAGATGACCTCTGGAGTAAAACTTTGAGAAAACTTTACAGAATAAATAGTGACCAGTGAAAAGAGTAGGCAACAGTCACGTTTCCTCTGCTGTCTAGTAGTCACATTTTGCCCCATCTCAAGATGATCAAGTAATTATTTATGTATCAAATTCAATTATATGAAAACAAAATTAAAGTTTGGATAACTGTCTCCACTTTTCTAAAAAAAAACTGACAAACCTAAAAAAACTATTTCCAGATATTGAATTTAGCTTTAGAGACCAACTGTTAGGCAAAATAGAGATTTGCTTTTTTTTAAGAAACCCAGTTCTGGCATCAAATCATCCACTGTTCAAGACAGCATTTACTAAAGTGGTAAGAACACTGTTTGGGTCCAGTATCATTACCAAAGGTACATTTATTCCTGTTTCCTGGAAAATCTTGTTCTGCAGAGTCATGGCTAACATTGAGTCAACCCCCAGTGCACACAGACTTGAGTTATCTTCCACTTCACCTGCACTTAGATTCAGTACATCGCCAACGATCCTCCTCACAGTCTCCTGTGTGGAAGACAGATGTTGCACTCTGGGTTTGATATGCATTTCATTTTTTAGCTCTGCTTCCACCAAAGCTGACAGGCGCTCCCTGAGAAATGTGTTTTGTGAGAGGACATGCGTGTTAAGATTTCTGAAGTTGAATTTGCATATCACTTGTTGCGACCTGTTCATTAAAAGGCACCTTTCAAGTGACTCGTGAATTTCATGCACGCCCATTACCATCATCCCTTTGGTCTCCAAGAATTTCTGGAAGTGGTCTTTGTTCAGCAACAAACCAACGTTCAGAGGGCCCCAGTTGATGGACTGTGCTGCGAGCCCAAGATTTCTTCGGTAATGACAGAAAGCATCAAGGAAAGAATTGGCTGCTGCATAATTGCACTGTGAGGCATTACCTAGGAATGATGAGATAGAAGAATAGCACACAAAGAAATCAAGTTTTTTGTCGAGTGTGGCATAATGGAGATTCAAAGCGCCGCTGACTTTGGGCTGCAGCACCCTCCGGAAGAGGGACTGGTCGAGGAATTCGATCAACGCGTCATGCAGCACAGCAGCACTGTGAAAAACCCCTTTGACTGGATAAAATGGGAATCTTTCCCCAATTTTGGACATGGCATCAACCACCTGCATCGACACAGAAACATCGCATTGGATGTTCATGATGGCTACGCCGTATCTGCTCTGGAGCCTGTCCATTTCTGACCGCATTTCATCAGACGGAATGCTCCTCGAGAGTGTTGCAATGCAATCTCCTCCATTGTGGGCGATGAACTTAACAGTCTCAAATCCCAATCCGGATAGACCCCCTGTCACAATATACACAGAGCTCTGTTTGAAGAGTTTGCGGGGCCTTGCAAGCACAGGCATGTCGGTACGGCTCCCATCTCGTCCAGGCTCTAAAACAACCTGCTGCACCGTCGTAGTAGAGAAATAGGATTCAGATTGTTTTACCTGGAACAGCTCCTGCCTCAAAGGGAGAGACTCTGCACCAAAGCCCAAAGACAGAAGCCACTTAAAGATATGCATCTTTTTCGCTTGTAAATTAGCTTTAAGGAGAACTTCCGCCATATCGAGCTTATGCACAAAAATGGAGTCGCTCTTCATAGCAAACATTGTTGAAGAAACTAATGGCGATGTATAACTGCTAAACACAAAAATGACGTGTTTCCCAAGTCCGAAACCGCCACTCATCCCCCGCCAGGAACAGTCAAACGGCGGCAGAAAAACAAAAGCATCAAAATGTGGCTGCCCCCACGGAAAATTATGCAGAGAAGAAACATTCCAGCCTGACCTGCAAGCTGTGAGAGCCAAAACCTTCATCAGAGCAGATGCAGAATTGGAGGAGATGAGTGCCAATCTTCGCTGTTGCTTATTCCCATCAGACTGTAGCCTCTGCAGAATCTCCCACGCCAGTATGAAGTAAGAAACACACGGAGTCTGTCTGAAGAATGGAAACGTCTTTGTGTCGTAACAAGCTGCCTCAGGAATCAGTGCCGTTGCAGAGGCGGTAACAGGATAACACGACGTAACGTGGTCTCCCACACTTAGATTTTTAACATCTTTACCAACGGCTGTGACAACGCCACCAAAATCTAAAGCCAGAAGATTGTGATGGTGTGAGGAATGCTCGTTCCAATACAACGTCCTGCCATGCTTTAAGTGGGAGGACGTGACAGGGAAGTAATCCGATGAATGCACGCAGACGTTTGCGAGCCGAATTTCTACAAATTTCTCCGGGACGGGAGAGTCAACGGTATGAGCAGAGATTGCAGACAAGTTAGTAATTTTGTACGGATCAGCAGTCTGTAGGACAAAGTCCCTCGGATGTACAGAAAGTGTCTCACCATTAAATAATTTCTCGTCTTCTCCTGGGGTTGGTGCTATTCTCGTTGCCGATGCCCTCCCTTTGCTGATCCTCACCTCTTGTTGTTCGCAGGTTTCAATGACTCGAGCCAGCATTTTTATATCCTCACTGCTAACAGAGGAAACGTCAATCAGTTGAAAAGAAAGATCTGAAATCTCTGCTGCGCAGGCCCTCGTCAGCCCCGAGAGGATAAAACCAGGACTGATGCGGTCGGCAGTCAGTTCTGTTGACCTGTGAGTCACCACGGTGACGGTGCAGGGGCGTCGGCTCTCTTTCGCAGCCAAAACAATACAGCGAAACTTCTCACAACAGGCCACTAAGATGTCCAAAATGCGCTCAGAGGACAGGTGAGTGACGTCCTCTACACCGCAAATGAAGAGAACATGTTCCAGATCCTGTTTGCTGCACAGCGAGTGAAGCACCAGCTGTCCAACTTCTTTGGCCTTTAACTTCTCCCCACATTCCACAATGACTGACTCTGAGCTTATGTAGGGTCTTAGCCCTTCAGAAATGCCGAGGTTGTCCCCAAAAACAATTGCTTTTAACGGAAGCCCTTGCAAGGCTCCGTCATCTGCAACCAAAACCGTTTCATTGTGAAAGAACAGTGATTGGGGAACGTTTGAGCAGCCGTCAAGAAATGAAATCCTCACCCCTGTGAGTTCTACTAACACGTCCCCCCCCATTGTGGCAAAGCAACCACACACTTCAAGGAAGTCTGGAGTCTCTTGAGTTGCCCGCAGGTACAAGACCATTTCCTTCTGCAGAGGTCCAGATAAAACTATACTTGCAACACGTGAGGGAAATCCCTGTTTGGATGCCAGCTGTCCCATTGCAGTCACAGCAGTCATTTGCATGAAATAATCCAGCAGCACAGGGTGAACGAAATACTCATGCAGATATTTCAGAAGTTCCTCGGGAACTTGGAAAGTCGTTACAGCCTCCCTGAATTCTTTTCCAAAATGGACATCACTCAGCTGCCTGAAAAGCGGGCCATACTCAAATCCAGCTTGAGACAGAACCGAATAGATTTCGTGTCTGCTCATAACCAAAGCACACCTCTGAAATATCATTTCAAGACAAATGGTTGCTTCTTCTAAAAGGGGTTCTTGACTTGAACACCTGTATGTGCCGGATGCGTGTGTTGCAGCAGAGGACTGTATCTTAAACGAACCCTCCTTCTCTTGGTGTTCAAGTGTGATTTTCAGCTGCTGGCAATTTGAGTTGAGAGTAAGCAAACTCTTAAATGAAACTCTAAGACGGAGCTGAGAAACAGGTTTCTTTGGCTGCAGGGTTGCCATCACTGAGGCAAATGCCAGTTCAACATAGAACGCACCAGGCACAATGGCAACGTCATTGTTTTTATGCTCCCAAAGAAAGGGGGTAGTCTCCAATGTAAGGTTACACATGAGCTCTTTATCGTTCATGTGGGATACAAGAGAACGGGGGTGAAAAGTGGCTAACTGATTACCTTCTCTCAAAGCTTCAAAGTTTACGTCTTTCTTTGTGTTGTCAAACTGGTAAACTGGAAAAGATGTGGGGAATGTCTCAGAACCACTGTAGACCTGATGCCAGTCTACGTTGACGCCAAGTTCAAACAGTTCGGCCAAAGTGGATGAAATTGCGTTGCAATCTTTCTCTGGGTGGACAGGAGAAAGAACAATTGTGTTATTTCCAAGAGTCTCTTGTATGTATCTGTGCAGAGCTCTTCGGGGAGCAATCTCAACAAAGAGTAAGTTTCTATTGGACGGCTTGTCTTTTGTGGCCGCACGAAGGGCTTGTCCAAATAAAACAGGCTTTCGGATGTTTTTTGCCCAGTATGTGCCGGAGCTGAAATCGCCATCTGAATACCTCTCTCCAGACACAGTCGAAAAAAGCTTGCACCCCATATTTTTGCTATCTAGAGGGCCGATGTTTCTCTCAATGTCATCAAGAACTGGATCCATCATATGGCTATGGTAAGCAACTGGAACATCTAAGACATGGAGGAAAAGGTTTTTATCTGGAAACATGAGCTTCAGCCTGATGAGGAGGGCGTCTAAAGCTTCTGCTTCTCCCGACAGAGTGCACGACTGAGGGCTGTTGAAAGCAGCTACACAAATCTTCCCAGAAAAGTCAGAAATCACTGCCAATACTTTTTCCACAGGCAAATTGCTGACGACCAGCATTTTCCCCTTTGGAAGCTTGCTCTGAAGAGCGCTGCGGTGGAACAGCACTTTCACGGCATCCCTGAGCGACAGCAAACCTGAGCAGTGAGCGGCTGCAACTTCACCAACAGAGTGACCTAGTACGATGTCGGGTTTGACTCCCCAGCGATTCAGCAGAGAGGCGAGGCCGACCTGGATTGCAAAGAGAAGGGGTTGAACAACACCTGGCTGGCTAAAATCCCCCTCATCGTAATCACCGGCAAGCCATCCACTGATACTCATGTCCTTATAACTCTGAAAGATGTTCTCAACCTCCCTAATCTTGTCCCTGAAGGCGGGTATCTCTTTTATGAGCTGTCTGCACATTCCCCTGTAGGAAACTCCATTTCCGCAAAACACAAAGACGACTTGGATGTCCGACCTTACCGGCTGAGCTTTTGTTTTCAGTGCAGATGTGAGCTTGTGTTTTAAGTCTGGGAGGGAGAGTGCTGATAAGGCCTTTCTATATTTGTGTTTGCAGTGACTCCTTCTGCACGCCGAGGTGTATGAGAGCGCCTGCAAGTCGACTTCCTGACTGCTGTTGAGTCTTTGGTGAGTGTCCGTGATGGTCATCACCATTGATTTCTCAGAAGCAGCAGAAAATACGAATATCTGTGTCCAGGCTTTCATGGGGTCTACAGTGTAACTGTACTCCCTCAAAATGGCATGTGCATTTGTGCCTCCAAACCCAAAGCTATTGACCCCGGCTACCCTTCCCGGTGATGCATTTAACTCCCAACTGTCAGCTTTGGTTGGAATAATTAATTTCAAGGCTTTTAAGTCTACACTTGCATTGTCTGCAGAGTGAAAAACTGAAGGCACAATGATCTTGTGCCTCATCATTAGTAGCACCTTGATGAGTCCAGCCACTCCAGCGGCAGACTCTGTGTGTCCGATGTTGCCCTTCAGAGACCCAATCCGAAGCGTCTCAGATCCAGGGGGTCTGGCATTAGCAATGACGTTTGAGATGCTTCCCGCTTCGATTGGGTCTCCAACTGTGGTTCCAGTCCCATGAGCCTCGATGTAATCAACCTGGGCGATGTCAGAGTCTGAGTAGATCCTGTGCAGCAGATCCTCTTGTTGTGTCATGGAGGGTTTGGTGATGGGGGTGACTGAGTGTCCATCTTGGTTGACTGCAGTTTTGCTGACGATACCCCATATTTTATCACAGTCTTTTATGGCCTTTTTAAAGAAAAAGCACATTGTTAGCAGCTTTGCAAGTATCAAGGTACAGTTTCAGGTCATATAAGTTAGTTTCCAGTTCAAGTTTATCAGGAATATTTTTTCAGGAAGAAGGCTACATATTTGTTAAAGATTTTGGTGATGTTTTTCGGAAGCTTGGAAGCATAGAAAATGTTTTTCTATTCAAACTAGAAGTTATTTGATCCTTTTTCTATGTTTAATGATGACATTGTAGCTATGTCAGTTTGTTGACTATAGTTTACCAATTAGCAAAACTGATGACCTGCAGATTGGGTAAATATCCAATAGGTGGCAGTCAAATTCCATGGCAGGCAATCATAAAACGATGTGCTTTTGTTAATGTTCGACATCAATATCAGTAGTTGAAAACAAATAGATGAATAGATAGATTATTAATGAATCAAAATTCTACAAAGCCCAAATCATAACAAACATAAAAGTCCACCTACCTTGCTGAGGGGTTTTAGGAGTACCAGGCCGCAGCCTTCCCCTCTGCCATAGCCGTCTGCTCTGGTAGAAAAAGGCTTACTGGTTCCCTCAGGTGAGATCATCTTTGCTTTGCTAAGAGCAACAAACATTCTTGGCTCTATTATACAGTTAACTCCACCACAAATCGCCATCTCACAGTCTCCTGGTTGACAGACAGAAACTAAATTAGAACTTTTGAAAATAAATTTCTGAGGCAACATGCAACTTTCTTCCAGGTAAACTGACCTTGTTTTATAGCCTGGCAGGATAGGTGCAGGGCCACCAAAGAGGAGGAACAAGCGCTGTCAATTGCAAATGAGGGTCCAGTGAGATTGAAGGTGAAAGAAATCCTGTTGGCCGCTACACTCATGGCCGTCCCAGTGCCGTTGTAGTGGGTTATTGTTCCAGGACTGTTATTTCTGAGCATTTCATAGTCCCTGTTCATAAGACCTACAATTACAGCACATAGAGACACAATTAGTGTGATCAGGAACATGTCTGTGACTCTATCGATATGGCACATTTAGGGGATCACCTATGTAAACCCCAGTTCTGCTTCCACTGATGCTCTCCATGGATATCCCTGCATCTTCTAACATCCTGTATGTGCACTGCAAGAGGAGTTTCTGCTGCGGGTCCATGGAATCCGCCTCCACTTCCGCAATGCCGAAGAACTTGTGATCAAACTCATTGAACCTAGAGCATTAAAACTTGATCCGTCACAACTCAAGCATGTCCAAAATCACACAAGATTTGAATCAAATGGATAAAAAAATGATCAAGCTTACCCCTCTATGAGAGATGCCTTGGTTGTCTGTGTTTTTCCAGGTTTCTTGGCGTCAGCGTCATACCAAAAAGTGGTGTCAAACCTCTCAGCTGGAATATCTGCAGCATAGGTCTTCCCTTCCAGCAGAACCCTCCAGAAACTGTCCAACCCCTCACCTACAATAAAAAATAAACCAAATAACACTGATATAGCTTAGACAACAGGATATACACAATAAACTCACCACAGATATCAAAGTCACACCTCCTGGGAAATTGCATCCTATCCCAATAACAGCTATGTCATCCTCTGTGTGCTCCATCCTTCCGGTGAGTTGGCAGAAAGGTTTTTCTCTGTCTTTCAAACAAGTAGACCAATTGACGTTTTAAGCCTCTCCATTATGGAGCTTGATGCTCAGCTGTGTTCAGACCAAAGTGGTGCTTCTGAAGCCTCACAGCTCCCTTATATAATATTGGGTGAGAAACAAGAGGACATTGTGTCAACCTGCTGTATTTGAGCTGGCTTGAAGTTGAAACCAAATCCACTAATTATCAGATAAGATCTTCCAGCTGCAGGAGTAAATGAGTCTGCTTTTATATTCTCTTTTTTCAATGACAAAAGCACACTATGCACGAACATTGTGCTCATAACAAACTGCTCATTTTGACTGCCTGCGATGTGAATAACTGCTTCTTTATGTATCGGGAACAGATGTAGCGAAGGGGCTGAATCGAGGAGGCAGCTGAACCCAAACTCTTCCAGTCCACAAGGAAGTTCTTCAACCTACCAACACCCAGTGAGGTGTCGCCTAAAAACACAGACAGATGTCAAAATGAATCTCTAACCTGCATTTTGTTTGGTAGGGAGTGGAATAAATGCATTACACCTATGCTATTAACTGCTGGAGGTTATTAACAATCTCCTCTCATTAAAACTGAGCAGAATTTGATCACAAAATTAATGACATGGATTTTAAATCCAATAGAAGGTTAAAAATAGTTAATGCAGAACTGTTTTCTATGACAAAGACAACAACAATGACAGTATTACGATTAAAGGGTAAAGGACGGTATGAACGATCATGTCATTACTTCACAGTATATCCAAATGTAAATGTATTTTTCTGAGTTTTGATCATAGTATTGATTAGAATTTATTCTTTTAGCATTATTCTGTTCCTGCTTTGCCCTGTTTTTTTTATTTTCCCATTTAATTAGCGTGTTTTGTGTCTCAGTTCAGTTCCTCACAGGTACTTTGCCTATTTGATCCCCCCCTTTGATCTGAACTCAGCTGCCGCCCAATCTCTCAGTGGTTTCTCCCACAGTATTTAAGCTCCTTGGGTTTCAGTGTTTTTTTTCCAGATCTACGGGGTTGCTATGCTCAGCATTTAGCTCTTCATTTGTTTTTTTTCTCAGTTTAGTGAATGCTGCTCTAGCTCTGTGCTATTTTTAGCTTCTTTAAAAAAAAAAATTATTCTATCACTGCGTATCTTAAGTAATATTTTTCGTCAAAATGAGCCTTTGCAAAACTGTGATTCTACCAGAAAAGTTCCTGTTGTATCTCACTGACAAATAAAAGTGCAGCAGGTGGACACATACATGTTTATACCTAAAGAAAATTGGCATGTACATCAATAACATTCTTTACATGATAGCTCTTATTTATTTTTCCCTAATAGTTTAGAAAGATTCATATTTATTATTACCTCTTAATAAATGTATATTATACAAAAATGCTATCACATTATTAAGGTAACTTGTAATAAATCACTGCATTTAATGAACATTCGTAGCAAAAACAATCCAAGTTTCTGTCTTCTGAGTCTTGAACAACACTTCCACTTCACTTTTTCACAAGAGTAATCTTTATTTGAGCTTCAAGAAGGCCTTCATCTAAGGTAACAGAAGCACCAAGCCAGTCCTTTCATACATGTACAGTATGTACAACACACGCATAACTCCTCTGAAGTTATCAATTACTGCTGACCTTAGAGAAGGACAAGAGGCCCTAATGCTACTTCAAGCAGAATAGAGGACACACCTTTGGGCACTTAAATAAATAAGAACAAACAAAATATCACCTGCAAGTGAAATGCATAAAAGAGAGAAACATCTCTTCAAAAAATGTATCCAGCAATGACCAGCAGAATCACTTTTACCTTCTACAGCCAAAGGGTACATTCTACACTGAGGGTTTACTGGACAGTGCACCCATATGTGATGAGCTCATCCAGACGCATTCAGGACTAAATGTGCCTCTGATGCATGCAATATTGCAGCCGACTTTCTTCCATCAGAGTAAAGCTAATCAAACAATAAGTTATTCATCAAATCAGATTTCATTATGAGGTACTTTGTAATAACTGAAAATTAGAGTCCTCTGCTGAAAAAGACTGAGACGAAAATGTTTGCACGGGGAGAAACAATGGTTTTCATTGTGATGTTCACATTGACAACAGAAGGAATACAAACAAATAAAACAGAAGGCCTCCACAAAAGGCCTGTGCGCCGTTGCACAGTTTTACATATATTTACATAATTCAAGGGTGTAAAATGTCTGCTGAGGTTTTCAGTGGTCCAGAGATTTCCCCTCGAGCACCATCTGGATCTCTTTGGCGTCCAGAGTTTCGTGTTGCAGCAGGGCGTCCGCCAGCTTCTGGTGCTCCTTACTGTATGTCTTCAGGAGGTTCCTAGCACGGTCGTAGGAGTCCTGCACAAAGGAGAAGTATTACGGCACTGATAAAGATTAATTTGATAATATCCACACATATGGCAACGGCAGATATCTGACCTTCAGCAAAACTCGGACTTCCTGCTCGATGGCGGCTTGTGTCTCCGGACTCTGCTTTGTTACATCTCCGTAGGTCATGACGCCCAGCTGCAAATTAACCCACAAATTAAACCCTCAAGCTAGACTGGAGTAAGTGGTTACTACAAACGGCTGATATAAGACAGTTATAAGCAGCTTTTCTCCTAAAACTATTATGACATTTTCTATCCTTCATTAGCAAAAATTGACATTTCACCTTTTTAAAAATTGGCATTTTAAGATATTGGGTATCCTCTAAATATCTGGTGTTCACAGATGGGAGTGGAGGGAAGTGTGGGAGGATGAGGGACAGAAGAGATGGGGAGAATCAAGTATATCAACTGCCTTCTTCGTGCTTTGCAACAGAGCTGAAAATCCAGCCCATGCTGCCACCTTCTGATGTTGAGCTGCTCCAAGGTTTTTAAAAGATTTGTGCTGAGTGTGCAGTCTGTGTTTTTTGGAAGTCGGCTCCAAATGATTTTAGAGAAATAATTGGTTTTAAACTTCTGAACATTTAGCATCACTGAAGGCGTTCCGTGTATGAGTGTGAAGTTGAGGGGGGAAGAATAATTTTGAATTCATACCTTGTCGCTCATGCCGAACCTGGTCACCATCATTTTTGCTATTTTTGTTGCCCCATCGAAGTCACTGGATGCTCCTTAAATGCAAAACAGAATGAGACGGTTGACACTAATGATGCAGAAGAAGCACAGCTTTACAGACGGATAAGTTCCCCCTGAGGTCTGTACCTGTGGTGATGTTCTCATCTCCAAAGATTAGCTCCTCTGCTACCCGGCCGCCCATGCTGACATCCATCTGAGCCAGCAGCTGGGCTCGTGTCTCGCTCCAGCGGTCATTCTCCGGGAGCATGGACACCTGACCACAAAGGTACAGCCCGGTTTAGAGGTGTGGCTACAAAAATGATGACAGCACTACTGACTGTATTCATTTCATATTAGTAGAAGTAAAATTAGAGCTCACATGGCCTAGGGTTGGTCCTCGAGGCATGATCGTGGCCTTGTTAATTGGCATTGCATCTTTGGTGTAATAGGCAACAATGGCATGGCCGGACTCATGGTATGCCGTAATGGTTTTATTCTTCTTGTCTATTTCGACGCTCCGCCTCTCGGGACCTGACAGGAAGAGGACAAAAACAAAAAGGCTATTCTTTCTATTCATCCGTCTACTGAGGGCTGCAGAGCTCATCTGAGCTCTGTGTGTACTCACCCATGAGGATCTTGTCTTTCGCGAATTCCAGCTCCTTCATTGTGACCATCTCCTTCTCGTCCACGGCTGCCTTCAGGGCTGCCTGGTTGACCAGGTTCTCGAGCTCTGCCCCTGAGAAGCCCACAGTGCCTCTGGCAATAATCTCCGCATCAATGGCTGAGAAAGAGGGAAGAGTTTTTACAAAGCTGATCAGAAAGGAGAGAACAAAGTCTCCTATGAAAAGTATGTAACCAGAAACAAAAAGGCTCCATTCGATCGACCATCAATTTTTTAAATTCCTACATCTAACCAGACCTGGAAAATAAACAATGGGAAAATGTTGTGCGCAGAGACCTACCGGAGTCCATTTTGATCTTGGACAGGTACAAATTGAGAATTTCTGTGCGCCCTTTCACATCAGGACGTGGGACGGTCACCTGCATGTCGAACCTACCAGGCCTCACCAGAGCACTGAGAAAAACAACAACACATCTAAATATTTCAAAATGAGACTAAGAGAATTCAAACTTTCAGGACATTGAAAAGAGATTCATGCTCAAACTGTCATCTGTGGAACTGCTCATTTGGACATGAGAAGAATAATAAAAGGAGGGAAGAAAAACAGCAGCCGTATGAAAACCTGAGCTGAACACAGACCAGCAACCATAGACTTTTTTCTTTATTTAGACAGGTAGTGAAAAAAGCAGTAAAGAAAGTTTATGAGTTACCTTTGAAACACATTGTTGTGCAAGCATGCTTCATCACACAAATGTATTTATCCACTAACAAAGTTTTAGCTAAAATTAGCTAATTAAAGCATATTAGTCTGAAATGGAAACATACTTATCCAAAGCTTCGGCAAAGTTTGTAGCTCCAATAACTATGACGCCTTCATTGGGTTTAAATCTGTAAAAAAATACAAATCCAAACATTTTTCATTCTAGGATGCTTTCTTTAATAAAGATGAGTTCACACTTGTGAAGGAAAGCAAAACTGACCCATCCATTTCAGCCAGCAGCTGGTTAATGGTTTGTCTGGAGTAAGGATGCATGGGGGACTCGATCCGCTTCCCGCCTACGCTGTCCAACTCATCGATAAAGATCACGCAGGGAGCATTGGCCTTTGCTTCTTCTGCACATCACAAAAAACGAAATCCTGCATTTGGATTCATTCTAAAACGGTCGATCCCTTTTTTGGAAATTGTATCCAGTAAACTTACTGAAAAGGTTCCTGATTCTGCTCGCGCCAACTCCCACAAACATCTCATCAAACTCTGATCCGGAGGCGTAGTAGAAAGGCACGTCTGCCTCCCCGGCCACTGCCCGTGCTAACAGAGTCTTTCCTGTTCCCGGGGGCCCAATAAGGAGGATCCCTGAAAGGAAAAAAGAGGTTAAAAACCTTTATCCGAAAGAGCACAGTCACAGACAGCAAATCAGGTGAAAAGAAAAGAGTAAAGATACCTTTAGGCAGCTTTCCACCCAAAACAGTGAACTTCTGTGGGTTCTTTAGAAACTCCACAACTTCCTGCAGCTCGTTCTTTGCCTCCTCTACTCCTTTGACGTGATCAAATGTCACATTCTTCATGTGGATTGGATCCACTGCGGAGTCAAGTCCAGACGTGGTGCGGAACCTCACTGTAAAGCCCCAAAACAAAGTTTTCAGTCTCAGTTACACATTAATAAACATTTAAACAGCTTGTGTACATATGTGGGTATGAGTATGAAGTACTGCTCCAAAACAACCTGTCAAACCTACATGACCACTACAAATAGCACTTATGTGTAGTTATCTGTACTATAAGTTTCCTATGGCACATCATTTATTCAAGCTAAAAAAATATGAAGTAAAGAATTTGAATTCCATTCATGACCCATTACCAGATATGCCAACAGGCTTTCTGTAACTGCAGTTACAATGTAAGCTTGTATTTTATGGGCAGAGGAAAGAATAAAAACGGCAACAAACCAGCATCAGAAAAGGAGCCTTTACCGGAGAGAAACGGGGTTCTGGACAGGCCATAAATACCAATAAGCAGGAGGACCAGCAGGATGAGCCTGGTTCTCCTCAGCGAGTCTGTTAAAACAGAGCACAGGATCCATCATTTTGTGCTCGTTCTGGAGTGAGATTGTTTCACTGAACCAGCAGCAGCAGATTAACAAAGATGCTGATAAAGAACAGCTGTACATGTGTTTAATAAAACATCTGACATTTCATCCCTGAAACAGGTGTGGAAATTACAATTAATCTTTAAAACCAATAAAAAGAGATTTGAAGCTTTGTAAGACTACCAAGTAAAAAAACAAGGGAACCAAAGTTGTGTTTGACAACTGAAGCATCTAAATGAGGCACCTGCCTTGTGTTCGCTGAGTTAACGCTTGTGACCTCATGAATCCATCCGTGAATCCCGTCTTGAAAGCCTCCTGCTGATTTTCTGGAAGGTTCCTTTGTTTCACCACTTGGTCCAGTGAATGCGCCTCAGCTCCCTTTTCCCTCAAAAGCAATCCCTGAGGGTACAAAAGAAAATAACTAGATAAAGTAAATCAGCCTTTTCAGGTTAGAGAAAATTGTTATCCTAACCTTTCTATGCAACTGTGTAGCACCTAAAAAACTGCTTTAGTATTAATGAAGAAATGCAGGTTTGAATGAAACGCAAGAAGTCTGTCTTCCATGGATATTTTTACACAATAAGAGACTCGAACCAGTAGCTAACAAACCTTCATAAAAGCTGGTGTGTAGCTGTCTGATTCCACAGGACCATCATAGCCAGACTCCATCCGTCTGGTTTTTGATTTAAGCGTTTTAAAACCTCGGCTTTGGACCCACACTATAGGACCAAACATAAGAAGAAAAAAAAAAATGTAGGTTGCTGCTATGGTTCATACCACACTAGAAATCCAAAGTCAGATTTTCCATGTTTATTTCTTACCAGGCAAAAACTGTAGCTCTGAGCAAACATCTCTAAGAGGGCTGTGGTACTGTCTGTGGGAGAGGGGCAAGCCAAAACCAGCCAATCTTCTCCTTGAAAATCCTTGAAGACAGTTGGACAAAGAAATGATATTTCTATTGAATGAAATGACAAATCAACAAACAAAGAAAAGAGCCTGGCTTGGATGAGCTGCTCACCATGCTTGTTGTGAAAGAAGCTGTTTGCAGAAACATAACTTGTCCTCCAGGCTGACGGAACAGAAGGAGGCTCCTCTGGTCCCGGTACAGGTAGTAGCCTGTTCACCAGCTCGTCCAGCTGACTTGCATTAACCTCTGAAAGACCCAAGTCCCTCAGGCTTACGCTCGGCTGGAGAGAAAGAATAGTGACCATGGGTTAACTACATCTTCTAATGACAGTTCTACATGCTTGATGCACAAGACTCAAACTTTTCATTGTATGTTAATCTCTCTGACAAAATTGTGAACAGAGTTTAAATTTGACTTTTAACCACTTTTTTTGCACCTAATTATATTATACATTAAATGGAAGTAAGATAATCCCTCTGTTGTACCTTATGAGGCCTCTATTATTTGAATCCATCAAAAATGTATGCAAAACTAAGTATGCATGGTGCAACGCTGGCATTCCTCTCACCTCTTTTAGGTATAAATTGTGCTCTGGAGTGAAGTCTTTATGGAGAGTCTGGACTGAAGCTGTGGCCGAGTTCTTCAGAGAGTGCAGGGCAGTGATGACCTGGCTGAGAGGCACTATCATCTGAGATTCACAGCAGAAACAGCAGGGGAGGGGGTTCACCTCATAGTTACATGGATAACCTTGACGTTGACATGTACACATAACACCCGCGTAATTATAGGTTTACAAAGCTAGCCCAGCTTTGTTAGGCCCGCCTTGTGTTTTCCAAACGGGGCAATGGGTTAAGATTATGTCAGTTTTGTTCTCTGCTGTCCGCATGCGTGTAACAGCAAGGGTTACATAACCACGACTACTTGATGACTGGGCTAGTCGCTATACATTTTCTTATAATTTATCAATCCGGTGACAAATTCATAATCAAATCCTGACATTTCGAGCATTCCCGAAGTTTTTGACAACATGACGTAAGCAAGGTCTGACTAAAGCGTACCGAAGCATTGACAAGTGTGAAATGCTGGCATTAGCTAAGCTAATCTGTCATTGACCAGAACAAAAGGCAGGAGAAAAAAACAGCCACGAACTGAACACTTATATACTATAACAGCAGGTATTCTTAGGCAACGCATGCATTTTAATTGACTGTAAAAACGAATGTATTAACAATACGAACAAACACAAGCTAAACAAGCCCTCAATCTGCTATTCGGTCGGCTTACCTGCTGGGGCTGGAACGCCGTCGTAAGCGAAAACATTTTCCCCAAAGATAACTCTAAAAAACTCTATCCGGAGGGTTGGTGTGTGAGGAGAGACCCTCTATACAGTATAAATGAACAAGTTCTTCCTGGAGCAGTGCCCTTTTGTTTTCCCCGTTACACAACTTTCGGCCGTTACACAACTTTTTAGCTAAGAACGTCAAATGGATTCCCGGCCGGCGACTGAGGTCAAATTGACTACAATGTGACGTCATATCAAACTACTTCTGGGTCGATTTACATCATGTGGTCACGTTTTACAAATGCAATGTGTTGAATTAAAACCACATTTAAAAATATATATATATGAAAATAAACAGAATCATGTAAAAAAATAGTTATTATTGTATACTTTTAAAAAGAAAATGACGAGGGTGAACAACTAGATTAACCTTTTCATGGCTGTTCGTGTGTGCCTGACTTAAACAACGACGTTAAAACCAGCGAATCAAATGTAAACCACATATTATTTGGAAACAACAGATATATTTATACATTTAAAAAGAATAGTTTTATGACAAATGTATTAAATATATGGTAAGATTCTTTTATAGACAGGCAGTATCTTTAGAGAACTTGGTGGACGTCTAAGGACCCTGTGACTGAGTCGCTGAATTCAAAATTTCAAAACAAACCCTCGACTGTTGTTTCACCATGCAAGTGATTACAATGACCGATTTGGCATTTTCTAACTGAACACAATTTTGTTCTTCGGCAAATGAAAAATGGACGGGGGTGATAAGAAAATTTTGGGCATAAATGTGAAACCGGCGGACATCTCAAAACTTCCTTCTATCGACGATTTCATCGTTTTGAAACCTATCAGTCGTGGTGCATTTGGGAAGGTGTACCTTGCTAGGAAAAAGTGCAATGAGCGCTTATATGCTATTAAGGTGAGGTTTCTTTATCTTTAAATGATTGAATAATGAAACTGAGCTGCCAAGTAAGTTACAAATTGTATTGTTTTTCTGTAGGTGATGAAGAAGGCCGACATGGTTGATAAGAACATGATGAGCCAAATGAAGGCAGAGCGAGATGCACTTGCTTTGAGCAAAAGTCCCTTCATCGTTCAACTTTTTTACTTTCTTCAGACAGCCACCAAGATCTATCTGGTAAATTCTGAATTGACTCTTTTTGTGAGTTTGTTATAAAGCACACAATAAAAGGTATAATTATTTAACAATGATAATAGTTGTATGTATTTATGACAGTTAAGTTATTCTGCTAATGGGAAATATAAACCTTTGTCCTTTCAAATGATTTAGTTTAAATGTTCTTGACAGCCTATTCTTATCCCACAAAGACGGACATAAAGCAGTTATTGCAAAGAAAGTTTTTAATGTATTGTACGTCCCATAAATGAAAAACGAACCTTTTTCTTGCACAGGTCATGGAGTACCTGATCGGTGGAGATGTCAAATCTCTTCTTCATATTTATGGTTACTTTGACCAGGACATGGCTGTTAAATACATCTCAGAGGTTGCACTGGCTTTGGACTACCTCCACCGTCATGGCATAATCCACCGGTATTTTCAAACTGTATTTAGATGTCATTAACCATGCATGTGAGGAATTCGCTATTGGTCTTAATTTTGTGAATTTACTATAACTATAACTTTTCAGGGACCTGAAGCCAGACAACATGCTCATATCCAACAAAGGTCACATCAAACTCACAGACTTTGGTCTCTCAAAAGTCAAGCTCGACAGAGGTACACAAGTTCCAGCAGCTTGGACAAATGGTGACAACCCCCCTCTGGTGATATTCCCGCTGTTTCTCTTCATGTTATCTTTCTTCTTTTTTATTCCTATAAGAGCTTAATCTCATGGATATCCTCACCACTCCATCCTTGGCTAAACCGAAAAAAGATTACTTCCGCACGCCAGGTCAAGTCCTCTCCTTGATCAGCTCCCTTGGTTTTGTGAGTGAATTTACCTAATTGTAAAATATTCACTCGTCCAGCTTTACTGGACGCTTCTTGGAATGACTGTAATGCATAACGACTCTTTCAATATTCTGCCAAATGTAGAACACACCTTCAGGAGAAGGCAAGCGTCACTGCAGCGCCTCTGTGGTGTCCAGCCCCATGTCGTGTGGCAAAATAAAACCAAAGAATAACTCTCTTGGTTCTCCTTTGATGAAGAAGACGGATCAGCTATTTTCTCCATCTGAGAACCTTTTTAAATTGGGCAAGTCTTTACCCCTGTCGGCCGATTTATTTACGGTTGAATCATTCTTCCTGCTGAGATTTTCTTTGAACCTTTTTATCTGCAGGGCCGAAGCCGAGAGTGTTTAGTCCTCACAACCTGACGAAAAATCTGACGCCCACATTGCTGAATACCAGAAAGAGATTTGAAACGCTGAGTGCGGGCAGCACCACAGACACTGAGGGCGGGGTCAGTCCCCTGTGGGAGTGTGAGGAGGTCAGAGATTGTGAACCACTAACTTTTTATCTTTTTACAATCATGTTCCTGTACTTATCTTTCTTGGTTTTCCTGTTTACTTCATCCTTCAGAAGGAAAACCAATGCATCACTCACCACAGAGGTAGAAGGCAGTCTGAGTCACAAGGCCAGGAAGAGGCCCGTGAAGCCACAAAGCTTAACAACTTTGGAGTGTCTGCTGAGAGCCAATTGGGTCTTTCCAATCAGTACCACCAGGAGAAGACCGGTGCGTCGGTGAGAACCGACTGTCAGCCTGCAGTCCCCTCCTCCGTGAAGAGGAGTTTTTCGGACATAGATGGAAGTCCAGAGCCGCCGTCGCACCGCGCCAAGAAGACCAACGCAGACTACAAGAGGTTCTGCGACATTCCAGGGGCGACCGCGAGGTTTCACACCGGCCTGACGGGGACCTTTTCCGACATCCATTTGGAAGGTGGCTTCGTGCCCTGCCCCGGACGCGGGCCACCAAAGCGCTCCAGTCCCATCGCTGTGGCCAAGAGTCTGTTCGGCGAGCTGGACGAGCCGCCGGAGGACGTGTTTGAGTACGCCGCCAGAGATTTGTCCTACTCAAATATTGCGTCGCCCCTACCTGGGACCGGCGACATCTGCCGGAGCCTGAGCCTGGACTTTGACGGGTCCATGCACGACACGTCCCTCAACGTGGACAGCCAGGCAGCCGTCCGCCCGGGCAGCCGGGCAGAGAACCGGCACTCAGCGTCGTCCGAGGAAACCGAGCACAGCAAAGACGCTTTGGCGGCTAAATCCCTGCCCAAGACCCCCTCGGTCGTCACGACCTGGACCCCGAAAGCTGTCCACCCGCGACGGAGGAGCGACTCCCAGTGCTCGTCCTCCTCCAGCCGACCCCTCGATCCGGCCTGCGGCGCTGGACCGTCCCCCTCCTTCTGCCGGCCCCGGAACGTGGTGGCTTTCCGCAGCTACTGCAGCTCCATCAACCGCTCCAACATGTCGGCGGTGTCCAGACTCAGCGTAGAGGCCATGGACGTGTCCACGCCGGCATCGTGCCACTCTGCGTCTGGCACCGCAACACCAGTGCAAAAAAGAAGAAGCTGCAACAGCTCCGTTAATCAGGTAGGCTTCCGGGGGAAAGCCATGTTAGGGAAGCTAAAAACCAGCAAAGCTTTAGAAGATTAAAGCTTTCAAAAGATTTAATTGTGATGGAACTGAGGCAGCAGTGCTCACATGCAGAGCATCCTCCATTTTTATGCCAGCGCACCATGTGAATAGGGGGAAAAAAACGCTTTAATTACATGTTTGGGAGTTTGAACTAATCTCTTCACACTTCTTTCCCTTTTCCCATCAGACTCCTCAGCCCATGTCGACCTCCCACACGCCGTTCAGGACTCCAAAAAGTGTCCGAAGGGGAGCGCTGCCGGCCGAGGGTGTGCCCATCCTGGGAACGCCGGACTATTTGGCTCCAGAGCTGCTTCTGGGAAAACCGCACGGTGAGAGGAGGAAGCTCAGAGGGGAACTGACGGCAGCTGCCACCGTGCAGGCCATGAAGAATGAGCCAGTCAGATATAGAATTGCTTCTTAATATGCAAATGGAGAAATTGACCCAAGACATGCAAAACATTCTCTGCTAAATTCTTGTTGGAATATTTCAATTTGAAAGAAATTCTAAATAAATGAAAATCCTTTTCAAAAGTCCTATTTAGCCATTTATAATTGAATAATTTGCATAGTCAACGTGGATGAAAATGGTTTGACACCACAGTCTGTTGGTTGGCAAACAGCAAACTCCTTAACGTTGTAGCTCTTGTGACCGGACCTTTCTTTTAGTTTCAGGAAGTGGTCACGTGGGTAAGTTTTTGTCTTTCAATCGATATTTTGCAAGCAAGCTTGCATGTTCACCCAGGCTGCTGATTGGCTAGAGGAAAAGAGCTTATTTCTCCCACCAATTCCCGCATCCGCTCTGCCCCTGCCTTTCGGATCAGGGAACAAACTGTGGGCTTGATTTGAGAGAAAGGCTGGTGTTTCAGTGTCATTAGAAAGGTGTGAAATAAGCGGGTGTGTTCAGTCTCCTAACATTGTGCTAACATTGTTAACAGGGGGGACTGTGGAGGCCGATGCGCTTTTAACTGGACAAACGGGTTTTGGGTTTTGCGTAATTTCGAGTTTGATTGACATAAATGATCCCAGTTTCATTTAGATCGATTTGAACTCACTAATATTTGCGTTGATGACAGCTTCAAATCATTTCAGCTACTGAAATAAAATCACCGCTTCATTCTCTTAACGTACATTTCCACGTTTGCGTGATAAAGTTTCCGTGATTCCTCATGAAATGTTACCATCTGAACGGACACTGGACATGTGACGGTGTGCTCCATTAATGGGGGCGTGAAGCCGGACCCCCTTCCTGCTCGGCCTAACGTAGAACGTGCTTCTCACACTAACGGGAATCAGAGGGGGGGGCTGGCTGTGTCGGTCAGCACAGGCCGGACCAAACGTAACTTTTTTTTTTTGCACGTCCTCTCATCCAGACTGCATGGTGGACTGGTGGGCGCTGGGCGTGTGTCTGTTCGAGTTCCTCACAGGCGTGCCGCCCTTCAACGACGAGACGCCCCAGCTGGTCTTCCAGAACATTCTCAACAGAGGTGAGTTTGGTCCCCCCCACCTCTGTCGCAGAGCTCAGCACGGCTCCGTACAGAGCTGGGATGTTAACGGTTTTTCCCCACTGGCAAACCTCTCCAGACATCCCCTGGCCCGAGGGAGAGGAGGAGCTGTGTGCCAACGCCAGAAACGCCACCGAGATCCTCCTCACCATGGACCTGACCAGGCGCGCCGGTCTCAAAGGTGGGGGCGCCATTTCAAATGTTAGGTTTTAGTCAATTCTGACACGTTGGTCGTCAGGCCATTTAATTTGACATTTAAAAAAAAATTTTTTTATAATGGTTCCCATCAGCCTCAAATTTCAAGATATTGAAATAACTCTTGATCAGTTTTCCTTCACCTTCCCCATTTTACTGAGTTCTTTCAAGTTTACAACTAGTATGGACAGTTGCGTTGTCTTTTAAATTCGCGCTGCAGGAAACAAGCTTTTTAGATTCTTTTAGCGCAAAGATTTGTTTAGTGTGTGAACGGAAACTTGGCCAACATGATTTAGATTTCTCTTAGCTTTAGCTTTTGATGACACCATAAATCAGGTCCTTATTTGTCCATGCTTCTTTCTTTCTCTGCAGATTTAGAGTCTGTGTCAGATTTCTTGTATTTGAAGACTGACTTTTAAAAAGAATTAGTCTCATCTGATTGGTTACCTGGAATGGTCTGATCAGGCTCCACCCACAAAAATCATGTCTTTTTCAGTACCAACATGGCAAAATACGTTTTTAATTTGTTGGGACATTTCTAAGAAAATTGCACCTTAAATCCATTTTCATTTCATTCTAAATTATTGGTGTACTTATCTATTTTAATTTGTTGTCATACGATCTGAAATACCACCAGAGCTGAAGTGCCACCCCCTGTTTGATGGGTTGGACTGGGACAACCTGCAGAACCTGCCGATGCCTTTCATACCTCAGCCGGAGGATGAAACGGACACCTCGTACTTCGAGGCCAGAAACAACGCTCAGCACATCGCCGTGTCCGGCTTCAGCCTGTAGCTGGAGGTGAAGTTTTAGAAATTACTTAGCCAATAAATGACGAAGCCAAACAGGTCTTTTAGAAATGACAACTTCTTAATGGTTCTGATTATTTGTCTGTTCACACTGATGCTTTTTTTTTTTTTTTTTTTTTAAACCTTTCAAATGTGCAATTACTGGTTGTAAAAACCGTGCAGTTAGAGCTATATACTGTAGAAATGTATTTTTAAGCTTACTGTTTAAGATAGTTATGTCTCTTAAATTGACTTCAAAACCCTAACTTTACGATTTATTTGCCGTTTCAGATTAATTGATGTCCAGTTTCTCTGTTGTTGTTCTGTCCATCATTACGTTTCCCTCCTGTTGGTTGACTGGTTGAGTGGGATGGCTAAATCTTTCTGTAGCATACATTTCTATTTAAGAAAAATCTTCTAATATATCATTGAATAATGTTTTATGTGTGAGTCTTGTTGATAAAAGGAAGTGAGTTTTAAGACAGAACTCTTGGGGTCTGCTTTTATGTCTTTAGTGTTTGGTTTCCTCTTAGTTTTCCACACTGCTAGTGCTACACTGCTGGTTGATTAGATTTTAAATGCAGTCAACTTGAAGAAAAAGTACAGTACAAATAAAATGTATTCTTAACATATTGGATTCTGTGTATTACTCTCCACACAAACACAGATGCCATTAAACTCATTGTTCATTTTAAATGTTTGTTTCTTTTTGTTATTAACCGTATAGAATTTTAAGTTACTGAGTCACCAGGCATTCCCATAAATCCAAAAAAGGAATCTCTTGGATGGGTTGTTGCACAGCTTTAAGTGGCAGAAGTACATTTAGTCTATCTCTTGATTAGCTGTCAGTTTGAGGCTGATCAGGGCTGTTTATTTAAAGGAAAAGTGTTGTATTTTCACAGCATGTCACTTCAAACATTTAATAAAAATTGGAAAGGAAGAGGTTATTAAACCATCTATGAGGAGCTTAGAGCACACTGTCTGGATGTTAATAAATGGAAGAAATTCTAGATGCATGTTACCCTGAGTCACTGACCAACAACAATAAGATGGTAATTAATAGCATATTGCACAGTGTCTAACGTTAATGTTGATTAATTCATCATTAGAGACATGAGAGAGCTGTAACGAGAGAGATATGGCATTTAAATGAAGAAAGTTGCTGCCTGTGCATAAAAAGTCTGATGGGAAAAATGTGTAGTGGACAGATGAGTTTAAACAGCTCTTTTAAACAAAAAAAAAACAAGAGATTCAAAGGAAAATTATGGTTAAATAATAGCACCTTCATCTATATTTCAACATTTAATGTACAGTACGATTGACTGCACTCTCCATTAGACTAAAACAACCTTAAATGTCCGTTTCATTAAGAATAAATTAGCCAAACTAAAATACTTTAAAATTTTATTTTCAGGCAGCGATTATCACATGCAAACACCACTCAGCGCACAGGCAGAGAGTGTGAGAAAGCCTTAATTCAATTTTTAAAAAGGTAATCCTTTGCTTCTTCTCATTATTAAAACATAATGGCTCTGGAAAGATAAATGCTAACACAGAAACCAATCTTTGTAAATATAATTATCTACATTAATACACAGGGATGCAATTAAAATATTGCACTAAGATTTGAACGGTCCAGCTGTTGTACACGATCTGTATAGAGCTAACCGCTTCGCAAACGGGTGATGATTTAATGCCGCTTAAAGTCTACAAAAAATTCAAAGCTGCTGAGTCACATATGAAAACTAAGACGACATAGAAAACAACAAGATAAACATCACAAACAGGTTATGAGTTAATCATCAGATATCTGAGTGGAGGATTCTCACCCATCAAGGCTCGCTAGGTAGTACGATTGATGTCAATTTGGTCCGGATCTGCAACAGTTACGCTCATGTGCGTAAAAACTTAATGCTGTCTACAGTATGCATGTACCTTATGATGATCAGGCACTTTTTCTATTTGGGGAAACGAGGACTTGAAAGCTTGGACCACCCTGACCTGAAACACAGACTGCTGTGAAGCAGGGGAGAGGACAACATTTAGCTGTCACGTTAAATAAGAACCTTACTTGTCCAGCTTAAATTTGCCTTCCACTCTTACTCTCCAACAGCAATAAATATCATCTTACGCCTCAGAATTAGACAGGATCTCTGTCATCAGTACAATGTTTACATTCAATCCTCACATCTATTCTACAGTTATTACATTTTTATTAAAGCAGCATCATCTGGGCGGCTAATGAAACTGAAACGTTTTGTGCAACGAAGCCCAAGTTACAGAGATAACTGAGAAGCTACTGTAGTCGGCCTACAGCCACCCTACCCTACCACTGTGCCATCTAACCTCCAAAACCGTTCCCGACACAGAAACCGATTCCAGAACGCTCGCTCGAGCTCCAAGAGGTCGGTCAATCGCAGGCTGGTACATTCGTGATTCCACATCTGCAGCGCAGCTCATCGCAGAGGTTCAGGTGCTTCCTTCATAGTGCAAAGCAAATTACTGGGCTGTCAGTCTAAGCGGGAGGAGGAGGGGAGTTGCAGCCATCAGCGGCCGCAACCAAAGGCTTTTGAGGGGACCTGTCATCGTCTTGTGTCCGTGGGTGTCTGGCCAAGAGTGGGATCAGTTGATGCGTCTGTTTAAAGATGCAAAAGGAGAACCGGTGAAATGAATTCCGACACAGAGGTAGGCGCTAATCCCAAGTACTCTACCTTCTCCTTCTCTGCATGTAAAGACGGATGAGCCACTGGACGATGAATGGCCATACAACGGCAAAGGCCAAACTGGCCGGAGAAATGTCAAAAGGCCACCAGGATGGTTTCTAAAGGAAAGAAATGTACATGTGGAAACGTGCGCTTTTATATACCGGCAATGGACATACCATTCAACCTTTGATTTAAAAAAATAAGTGATGTTTTTGTTTTTACACGATCAATCAAAAGACAAAAGAAAAAAGGCCTGTGGAGCCTTTTACCTGTCTCTTCTTTTTGGCTGGAGGCTGCACATGTGTAGGAGGAAAAGTCACTGATCTCACCTGTGAAGCAAAGGTGAGAGGAAGGTTTCGTTAAAGATCAACACTGCAAGCCTCTGATGTGTTGACAGAGTCAAAGTACAAGCCCCTTATCTTCCCACCTAAAAAGCCTCGTCCACACACTCTAAAAACATTTATTTAATCACAGGTCCTTGAGTTGGTAACTCGCACAGTTAAACCCATTATCACAACCCTCAGTTTTTTTTTTTTAAATAAATTACTTTTGGGAAGAGGGGACATTGGATTTGGGTCAAATGGACCTACGAGCCTATAGCAGTAGCTTCCGTTTCATCAGGAAGGCTAAAGGAAAATAAAGTAAACTAAAGGTTTTGTATTATAGTGGATGAACAACCAGTTAATTCCCAAACATGGAAACAGGACTACCCCCCCACCTGCCCTGATTCTTGTTCCCGAGGCCGGTAAACAGGGCAGGCTGGTCTGACCTGAGCCTCCAGGGTGTGCAGCCTCTCCAGAACACTCTGCATGTCCTCCTGCAGACGGGCCAGCGCCACCACGATCTGCTCTTTCAGGCTCCCCCGGGGAGTGGCTGCGCCTCCCCACCGGTCCCCGTGGTCGCCTCCGCCCCGGTGGACGGGCAGCAGAGGTCCAGAGCTCAGGCCTGGAGACCTGGAACCTAAAAACAGAACATGGCTTCATGTTACTGACACACACACACACACGTTTGGCACATGACAGTAACCTTTGAATGTTATGCAATCATCTTTTACTGAATTTGCACCCACTAAACTGAATAATAACCAATGAAATCCTTGACTCAAAAAACAATTATTTTCCTTCACGTCGCCTCTTTCCTCTTTAAAAAACGACATATTTAATGCACACAAACAAAACTGGAGTATAACAACCCTCTGGGTTCAACGTTACCCTGTCCTCTTTGGACTAAGGATCCCCCAGAAATGTCTGCATCTGGCCTCGGCCTCAGTGACCCGACGCCACCTGGCTCTCCATCTTCTCCTCCACGCCGAGTGCCCCGCGGCGGATCCCGAGCATCCTCCTGCTGCCCCCCCACAGGCGGCAGCGCGGGGCTCTCCTCCTCGTCCAGGTCATCCAGGGAGCGGTTGTGCTCGGAGCTCTGCAGAAGATTCCCCGTGAAATGAATCACTGTGGGGTTCATTGAGGAAACATTACTCAGAGTTGTGTGGTGGGGCTTGTGCTTGCCTCTTCCTGACCAAACTGGTCCACAGAATCACAGTAGACCTCGCTGTCTGAGTCACTGGCCAAGTGATTGGCTCTTGGATCTGCGGCACGGGGGAGCTTCGGTTAAATTCGAACACTGTGACATTCGTTTATTCCATTAAAACGGTCCCGGGAGCAGCTGGTGCCTGAAGTGTTAAAGCCCCCGTGTGTGCTGAGTTTCTACAGCCCTGAGAACGAAGCTTAGCGGATAATCTGGTCACATGATGCGCTCACACACACACACAGGCCCCGTCGGGCCGGTGAGGGGGGGACCTCAGAGGTATGTGGACGTGCAGCGAGGTGCAAAGAGACCCGAGCTGGAATGGAACAGACTGTTTTTACTACCTGCGTGGTGTCCGTTGAGCAGAGGCTCGCCGGTTGGTTCTTCCTCCGTGTCGTCGCTGTTCAGGGCAGCTCTGGAATGACTCCCATTGGTCAGATGGGTGACCCCGTTCAACAGTTTGCCATTAGAAATGGGCCCTTTGTGCCTCTTGGTTAAACTCTTCTTCGTTGGTTGTGACACCGCAGATTTATTGTCTAAGAAACAGAGATGCTCTGAATATGTAACGACTAAAATCGGCTTATTAGATCGGAAGTACCCACTTGACAAAAGTATAAAAAAAAAAAACGCACCTTTTCTGAGCTCTATTTTCACCTCTTCTTCTTCTTCTTCTTCTTCTTCTTCGTCTTCCTCCTCCTCATCATCCTCCTCTTCATCCTCATCCAGGTCTTCCTCATCCAGGTCATCCTCATCCTCCTGCTCAGCTTTTTGCTTTAGCTTGAGTCTGGTGGGCCGAGTCTCCAAAGTACCGTTCATTTCCATGTCTCTTACGATGCTCTTTGCAACATTACTCGATACCACTGTATTCATCATGGTGCCAAACCCTGTGCACAGAAACAAGCTGCTCAATTCTTCTAATTTATACCAATTCAAAAGCTGCTTGGAGCCAAACAAATGTATCAGTGACAAGGATACTTTTTGGATAAGTTTCCAGTCACTGAATGAAGAGAATAAACCTCAGGTAGCCAAAGCAACCTAAATATCCCGCGCTACATCTGTTACCACTAACAAAACACACAGAACACAACTAATAAGCTGAATAATAGGTAAATATGCACTTAAAGCATATGAGCTACGACGTCCACACACCGCATGTTTACAGAATAAGTACTTGCCTTCCAGTTGCCTAGCAAACTGAGTCAAACGGGCTGAGTATATGAAAAGAGGCAAAACGTAAAAGGGTCAGTCCACATGCTGTTGCCCACTGTGGAAAGTTAAAAGCACAGGCTACTCCACCGGGCGGGTAAAAACTAACCTGAGCTCAGGTCCGATATCTGCGAGATCTTTTTCTTCTCATCAACCATCTCGTAGAACGGGCCGAGGACCCTCAAGAGCTCCTCCACCTCGTCGGTCATGGGCATGCCTTCAATGATCTTTGGGCGGAATCCAGGACATTAACGGGAAGAAAAGAGTTTCACTTTCCACAGACCCCAAATCAAAGCAGCAAACCTACCAGTTTCATCTCATCGACATAGGCCGTCATTGCTTCTTCTTTTGGCATATCTGCAAGCGAGTTCCATGCATCCCTTTTAAATGGAAGGTGAGAAAGAAAAAGCATTGTGTTAACATTTTATTGAACAAAAAGAACAGAAACGTTTTATCCCCCGTAGTTACTGTGCACCAGTTTCAGCTGTGTCAACATGGACGGTTTAATGGAGGTCAGTTTGCTCCCTGCAGACTGTGTGGGTCAAAGGCTGCCAGAAACTCTAACTTAACTTCTCTGCATCGGAGAACTGAAGTGATTTTTTTGTGAGAAACATTTTGGTTTTGCACAGTGAGGTCAAGGCGGCTGGGATGCAACACAGTTACAACTCTGTTTCGGTTTGTCCCTTACAGAGCGTGCTTCCCCCTTGACTTTTAAGGAAAATTACAATGCAATGGGAAAGTTTTCTAATTAAAAAAACGTTTTTTTTAGAGAATAGGGGAAATCTACTGACCATTTAGCTTTGCCGACTGCGTCCCAAAAGCCCGGACGGGGTATGTTGCAGGGCCCTACTGTGGCTTGTTTATAATAGCTGTAGAACTTCAGCATCATGTCATTAGATGGCTGAAAGGGTCCTGCAAGAAAAAAAAAACACAACATCTTAACATTCAAAAGGAATAAAGCAGTTTCAAAGCGAGATTTTAAAAGTGGTTGCTTTGACAGTGCTGCTGCAGAGATGAGAGTCTGCTCAAAGTGGATTACTTCCCTCACACCAGCTGCCGCCCTAGCCCTAACCCTAACCCTAACTTGACCACGGTCTGGTGGGACCGGTCGAAGGGTCAGCGGCAGGCCGGTGCGTCCAACTCACCGTCCGGGGGTAAACTCTTGATGACTTTGACGGCGGCGTCGAACCTCAGCTGGGTCAAGCGCGTCTTCTCCTCCGAAGTGACGCTCGCCACCTCCATGGTGCCACCCAGTGACCGTAAACACAACACCTGCACGCGCGAGTCACAGCGAAACACACACACAAACACACAATTTGTGTCTGGGTTAAAAGCCAGTAAGACGGAGGAGAGAGAGAGGCAGTTGTGTATCTAGGACACACCGTGTGTGCGTGCGACACAGCTACAATGGCGACATTTGTTCTGCTACATCTAACGTTTCCGAGCAAACTTTCAACGGGAAAGGGCTACCTTGTTGGTACTCACCGTTAAATTAATCGGCCTATCCGTTCGTCAGAAGGCGACTTGTCCTTAGCCCTCGGCTGGACGCCATGAACAGTACATAAAGCTGGTTAGCGGAGTACTCTGTGAATTGTAGTTTCGTGCTTTACTCCTACAAGTTCCACAATCCTCTGTGTTTTCTTAAATTTGTCAAAGAATTTGAGTTTTTATTCTGAAAAGTTTACATCAAAGGAACATGAAATATTTATCGTATTAGTGGAAAACATATTGAGAACTCAGATGTATCAAAATGATATCTATTTAAACCCTAATAAAAAAACATGACCCGAGTAAAGCTAAAGTAGACCACGTATTAAACTACGTATCCCAGAATGCTTCAGTCCGAATCCCAGTTTTATTTTTTCAGTTGGAAGCGAGATAGGTGGGAGAAACTGTAGAGTAAGAGCACTCACTCCTCTGCGTTTTCATGACCAAAAGCATGCTCTTGTCCACATTTGTGGTGGACCATTTTCTTTGACAGTCATAACGTCACCACCCATCCAAACTGATAATTAAACATTTAAAGATAAAGTATTAGACAAAAAATATGGTTTTGGATTATTTTTAAGGGGAAATATGAGTTGGATCTGCGCATTTTTGTATTATAATCACATAGCAATCTCTCAAAGCAAAGCATTAAAGTTGATCTGTCAGAAATCAATGCATTTTCATGGTAACTGAAATAGATCAAATGCATCAGTGCATCTGTCTGATGGAATGACACATCCTTTACACGTGAGGTTCCTTTATAGTAAAGAGTGGCTCCTCCCCACTGTACAGACGAGCTTTGCATTGAGGTTACGCCAAATCGAGGGCAGGAATCCCACAATAGCAAGCAAAAGAGTTTTTTTTTTTTCGAGGCAGAGCTGGGCTGGTGGCTGTTTTAATCAAAGGGAAGGCAGAGGGAAGGCAGCCCTGTGGAGAGATGTAAGATGGCAGAGCTACAAATGTTGTTAGAGGAAGAGATTCCGGCCGGTAAACGAGCGCTTGTAGAGAGTTACCAAAACCTGACCAGAGTAGCCGACTACTGCGAGAACAATTATGTCCAGGTAAGTGACTCAAGTCACGTTATCGCTGCCCTGTCCGCCTTTTTGACGCTGAGGGCTCCGGGTTGAATGGTTGTTGGGGCAGGAAATGTGGATAAAGAAAGTCGAGTCGGGCGTGAAACGGGCTCCAAACGCTCCGCGCCTTGATGGCAAATGAACTGAGGTGGAGGGGGCCGGGGGGGGGGCTTTCACGGCCGCGGGACATGTCGGTGCTCCCACTACCGATCACATTTATTCTGTTTACACAGAGGGTGTGTCTACTTTTTTTATTATTTCTCTGAGTCGGTTAAAAGTGCCTCCACTCGAACTACTGATAATATGGCCGGAGTTTTACAGCAGGGCACTGAACATGTTATAACCTCCAGAAAATATTAAGATCAGCCCCAGAGAGAAAGTTTGTGCAGGTTTGCTCCTTCATTTTTCGGTTGTCTTTAAAGTCTCCAACTAATATTTTACATTCCTTAAAGTCATTAAACTCACAATTTAACACTCCACAAAACCATTTAAATATTTACATTAAATATTTTACATTCCTTAAAGTCATTAAACTCACTATTTAACACCCCACAAAACCATTTAAACCCCCTTTGGGAGTCCATTATGGTCGTGGTAAAATGTGCTGTAAAGCCCAGGAATACTCAATGATTCCATGGGAATATGTGGAAGGTTGCTGGTTACTTATGAATAATACTTTTAAGATTGGCTGTGAGACAGAAAAAAAAGGCACGTAAAGCCATTATTAGTTGATCAATAATGGTATCGACTGTTATGTTTTCTTCCTCAATTTATGAACAAGATCAGGGTATTTTAATCTCTCAAATTGTCTGGTAATACTGTGAATTAATGGTGGTTTAAGCTCTGTTAAGGAGTGACTGTGTTCATGGTGCAATGTGGCTTTGCCTTTTTCATTCTGCCGCTAGAATGGAAAGCGGGCCGTCTCTTGAAAACAATCGGACAACCGGCGGCAGAGCACAGGCTTTTTTTATTTTCCCCAACAGGAACCCACCATATCAGCTAAAGAGGGTGTGCCCGCTCCAGCTGTACTCCCCAAGGACTCCCTGTAATTTAGCTTCCTTCCATGTCCTCGGGTGCTTTTCTTCCTTGCCTTTCTGGAGTTCTGTAGCTCGGACCCTTGCTGAAGCCCCTTTGGTTTCCCGGGCCCTTTTCAATTGCAAATATATAAATAAATCAATCAAACAAAGCTGCGTCCGCTGATCATGCGGAGACATACCACGCAGCGGGGAGGTGTATGTGGGAGTTTCCTTGTTTTGGATTCACCACAGCCAGCTGTAACTCGACACTGAGGCAATGCAGTCTGATTTTCCCACAATGCCAAAATACCCGCAGAAACTGGTGGTTGGGAGTTTTGTTAGCTCGCACATTAATGTTTAACAGCATGGCGATGTTGAAGGGCCTGAGTTGACCGATTGCAGTCCTGTCTTTTTAGTCTGTGTCCAGCATTTTCCTGGAAAAAAAAAGGACCTTCTGGCTGTCCATCATTTGGACCAAAGCCTGAGCCGATTTTGTGTTCTTCATAAGGACGACAAGTATTTTTTTTTAAACTAAAATAAAAAGTCACATATTGATTGAGAGGAATGGTTTTATATCAGTAAATGTGAGTTTGTATGTCGGCGTTTTAAAAGGCCCGCACAATTCTGTTTTATTAGACGAGAATCATTTTGGACAAACTAGTCATGTTTTTCCAGCTTTAGTCATAATAAAAGCATCCACACTCGAGCATCAGAGTGGTGCAGTAGTTCCACTTTCATAGTTTTGGCTTTCTGAGTCAGATGGCTGTTTTTTTGTGTATTTGTAACTGCTTTGAAGCCAACAGGACGAATATCCCAATGTTGCCCAAGAAGAATCTCCAAAAATAGCAAGTAAAATTTAAAATATGCCCTAAACTGTCCAAACAAAAGCACAAAAAATCAATGCCGTCATTCTGAAGCCGCATTTGATGTAAATTTAGCTCGAACTTTACGTGCACAAAGTTTTGTTGAGGGCTAGTTTGGTGTCTCTGTGTGGTGTCGGAGCACCAACGTGCCTCAGCTTGAACCGGCCCGTCCTCTCAGCGCTCCTCCTCCACCCCCCCCCCCCCCCCCCCCCCTCCCGTCCTCCTCCGGGTTTGTGTCACACAGGCTTCTCCGGCGTGTTTGGGTGCAGATGGTGGAAACGGAGCCAGAGCTCTGGCCCACTTTCGCAACTTCCCGTCCACTGCTGCTGCTCCAGAGGAGTGTTTCAGAATGTGTGTGTGCGTCTGTGTGTGTGTGTGTGTGTGTGTGTGTGTGTGTGTGGGTGAGGGCACGGCGTATGACAGGCTGACAGGTCAGGGTTGTGTTTCCTGTTTGCCCCGATGACTCTAAAGATTGGCTAACTGGAAATGCCTTCTCTGAGGGTCAGGAAACGGCTGAATAATAGAGCCAGGCTCCGTTTCACTCCTCGCTCACAGAATGGGCCAATCACATCCCAGTAATTGGACTTTGTGTCCCAGCAGCCTTCTCTTTTATTTGACCTGTTTTTTTCTTTACTGGATATGTTTTGTTTTTTTTCTCCTCTCATTTGGCTAGTGTGTGTAACCTCTGTGACAAGGACGCACATATTGTATGCAAAGTGGGCCACCTGGCCACGCTGACCGGCGCTCCGAGGCGGCTGTCCACCGCACAGTTAAACACAGACGCGCATCCGCCGAGGCTCAGAGCGCTCACTGCCTCCCATTGTGCGTCCAAGCAAGGGGACTTACTAGTAATCTGTTGAGCAATAGTCCTCCGGGCGTTTGAAGGTGTGTCGATAGTTTTCTTCAGTCCTTCCCCCCCTGACTATTTTTAGAGGAATGCATTTAAAAAAACCCTAAACATTTGTCATTGATCTATAAATGATGTGGGCATAAATAAGTCAGTGTTGTCCAGAAATATGACAAACAACCACGTTTAAATCCTGTTTATTACTTGCTGGTTGTCTCAATGACCAGCAATTTTTTTCTCATCTCTTGAAATTTGTATTTTTATGCTAAGAAGGGGATTGTCAACATGATATTTGCTGGTCTGAATAACTAAGAACCAGATGTGAAAGTGATGCTTTTAGGAAAGAGGGTAAAAGTCCAGCACAGACTTGACACTGGACCCCAGACGCCTCTTAAACACTGAAGCGTTACGGAAGCTGAAGTTGAGGAGACGATAACGTAGTCCTTCTTAACTGGAAGAAGGCGCAGCTTTTCAGGTGCACGCAGGCATTTAAGTGTACTTTTACTACTCTAAAAAGCTCACCGTAAAGTTGTTTTAAATTGTACTCAGAACAGCTTAAAGTAGCATCAGCATAGTAACATTTTTGGAAAAAGTCCTCCTCTCAGTCCTCTGAATCTAAAACACTTCTCTCAGAATTTGGATTTTAGAAATGGCTCTGCATTTCAAAGTGGGATGATTTACATAATATATTATAAGAGCCGTTTCCTAATTATATATCCAATATTTTCTGACTCTTTCCCCCTCTGGTGCCATAAATATTGCTCAAGGTTGGATTTGAAAACGCTGTGAAATAATTGGTTCATTTGGGAGCCTTGGAATTAAAAAGCCAAATAACAAAAAAGGCTATTATTATTCTTCTTAAAAGTCCCCTTGTGGGACTAATAGAAGAAATACATTATTAAGTGATTAAAACCAACAAGTTCTGAGAAAACCAGCCATACTTTTTTGGATAAAGAATCACCTTCATAGCAACAACACATCAAACCAACCGATCGATCCCTTGTAGAGTCTGCGTCGGTTTCCGACACTTTAATTTGTGTCGGGAAGTCCTGGAAAGCGTAACAAAAAAAAAACTGTTTCTCCGGTGTGGCACCAGCGTTTAGGAGGCAGGAAACAACGAGGGAAAATAGGGAAATGGAAGCGCGATGTGGCAAAACCTGCCTGCAGGCTCAGGACATGTGACTCTGCCTGCTGAGCCAGCAGGACGCTCACTTGTTTTCCACTTGGATTGAATGTTTAAAAAAAAAGAAAAAGAAATAATTTTGGTCTGCATTCAGCTCACACCTGAGGGGGGGGGAGAGTCCTATCCATCAACGAGGAGTCGAAGATGCCCTTCATGGTCGCGTAACCCCGCTGTACCTGTTTTTATGCCAGTTTTCCCTCCCGTAGAGCAACAGCCCTGTCTGAAGGTGATAAATAGATATATTTTTAAACTTCGCCGTATCTTTCTGGGTTGCTCCGAGCCCTGGTTTCCTGTCCTCCCTCCGTCTTTCGGCGGATTGGCCTGGTTTGTCTCTCGGCCCACCGCCGTCCAGACCCATTCATCCTGTCCAACACCTGTCACTTCTCCCTTAGCAGCGCGGGATCGCTTTGGCCCAGACTGACCTGTTACTTGCATTTAGCGATTGGGACTTTGTCTAAAATTGGGTTAGTACTGAAGTCGGCGATTCCGCCTCTCGCTGGATTTGCGATGCGTTTTAATGGGTAGAGTCGGCTCAGTTATGCTCAGCAAACAGGTAATCCGGGGAAAACGTTTGTGTTTGTCACTTGAACGCGGACCTGTCACCTCAGCACAGTGGCTTTCTGCCTGGTGGAGCCAATTACAAAGTCGTCTAATAAAGGTTAATGAGTTTCCTGCATGTGCAAACTTCCCCTTTGTGTCTCTTCCTGACAAGTTGGAAGAATTTTTAATGGCGTGCTGGCTCTCCCTCAAGGTCAGGTAGACCTTATGGCCTTTCACTCAGCCTCCATCTGCCCTGGTGGAACAGGAGGAGGAGGAGGAGGAGAGGACTTTTAAATTCATGTCATACTGCAGTGATTTTTTTTTTTCCTGCCTGAAGGAGGAATTAAAGTCATTTCAGGTTTTAATTGCACGTTTCAGTGACACTTTTGGCATCTCCTCTCCTCGGTTTCACATTCTCACAGTTTACGATGGGGATGATGTTTTGCCTCCAGTTTCAGGAGGAACACGTTCCTGTGGAGGGTAGCAGATTACAAACGCTGCGGAGTAGCATCAGGAAACGGCAGCTTTTGGGAAGTAGTGAAGAAAATGATCCGCGACTTGGGGATTTTCTCATGTAACCCCAAACTTCATGTGCTCGATATAAGCAGAATGCAGTGACTGGTAAAATGTGATAAACTTACCCTAGAACCTGGAGGAACTGGGTGAAGATGTTCCTATATATAATGATAGTACGATGGGTTGTGATAAAGGGCAAAATATCTCAGAAGTAAAGACAGAGGGAGGTTCAACAATCTCCAAATGTCCATGTGTGAATTGTGGAACGATGACAAAATATTGTGGTTCAAGACAAAATATGAATATTCAATCATCCACAATACATAAAGTCATTAAATAAATCAGAGAATATGTAGACATCTCTGTCCACAGAGCACCTCTGGAATCATAGTGCGATCATTTTGCCGTTTGCCGAATAAAATATGAGCTTGAGATCAACAGAAGTTGGCTTCCCTTTCACAACTTAGTCTGTAGTTTTATCTCTCTGAAGGTTAGTACCATAAACCTCAGTTGTTTTTTTTCCTGTAAAATAACCAAGTGGCACCCTCTCTCCTCCCGGAGCCTCTCCTTGGGTAATAAATGAGCTTCTGCCTGAGATTGTATCAGTTTTCCCCTCCGGTTTGTCTTCCCATACATCACCGTGCGCTGTGGCCGGAGGAGCTAAACGGTCAGGAAATGCCCGCTCCGACACCCCCGGCCAGATCCCACACACGTCCGTCCTGCGGCCTCCTATTAGTCGGCCCCACCACGCGGTCCATCGTCAGCCGGACGTGGACGCAGCAACCTGCAGAGCGGCAGCTCTGAGCTTCTTCCCGTCTCCCCCCCCCCCCCCGACGGTCGATACATCACCGGGAGCCGAGTGTCATGCGAGCTGTCCGACCTTTGGGCCGGGATTCGCCCTCTCTCTGCCCCGCACAGCGCAGTTTGTGGCATCTTCTGCTCGGGACCAGGCTGGAACTCCGTGGCCCCACGCCTTAGCGTTGTCTAAAGGTTTGAGGGTGGACGACATGTTGCAGAATTCCACGCATTCCTGACCTTTTCTCCTCCCCCCCCCCCTTCCTTTGTCGAGCGCCTTTCCCCTCCCGCTCTCACATGTGAAAAACACACCGTTGTTTGAACATTTGCGCAGCTGTCACTTTGAATTCCTCTGGTCCCGGTCCCTCTCCGTCCTCCGTCACGTGGTTCCCGATTTTGGGTGGATTTCGGAGGGAGGCCTCGGCCTTCCGTAGTTTGGACCCTGACGGTAAAGAAACAAAGCATCCTGTCTTAAAAAGATGGATTTCCCCTTTTGGCAAACTGGATGGGTGACCGGGTGTCAGGGGCCTTCAGCCTTTGCAAAGATTAAGAGGAAAAATGCCACTCCCTGCTCGTTTGACACAATTCCGCCACCCGTCTTGCACACATGCAGCTCTCGGCGGAGATTTTCAAAACCTCAGTTTGGGCTGCACTGGTGGTTGATGATAATCTGACTTGCCTCAGCTCCCAGCTACATGTTTATTGTGACTGTGCAGCCCGAGCATTCCTCTGTTCTCCCTTTTTAAAGACCCAGAAAAAAGGCGCTGACAGCAGTCTCCCTCTTCCTGGATACTCCACAGTCTCTTTCATTGAGTCGTTACTCAGCTCAGAAATATGAGGAAAAAGTGCCCCTGGAGCGTTGAAGCTCTCTGAGAGCTCACCTCATTTTCTGCCTCCCCTGCTGCGGCGGAGAACACTCAGCTCTCCGCCGCTGTTATTTGGCACCGATCAAGCCCAGGCTTTGTTCTCCCCCAAGAACCGGTAGTCCTCATTTGTCTGAAAACGCGCTCCGCTCCGGCTTTCGTCCTTTAAAGAATAACGGCGGTACGCGCCGCTGAGTAACTGAACAGCAAATCTGGTTAGTTTAGGGATTTTGCGGATGACACATTTCTGGCGCGCGAGCCAGCGATTGGCCGACGAGGGGCAGAAACTAGAGCGGGACGCAACGCAATCAAACGCCACATCTGTCTCCCCCCACCCCTCCAAACAACACTCACTGCTGACCTCAGATCAAATCTCAAGCAGCTATTGCAGCTCTGGGGTGTTGTGTGCTCACGATGGAGTTAACCCGACGTGAACTGAGGCCGATCAGCTCCAGCCTTTCCCACTTAGTGTGTCAGCCTCCTGACAAATCAGTCTAAATCATTGCCCCGGATACCTCCGCATGAGAACAGAGCTCCAGTGCAGCTTGGGTTGCGAAGGCTCGTGAGCCTGTTAGCCGTGCTTTCTGCTGTTCTGCGCCACTTTTTAGGCCCGATTTGAACGCTTTAGATCCAGAAACCGTTCCAAAGTGCTCCCCCTATGCTCTGTCGATATGTTCTGAGGTCTGAAAAGATTCCTCTTTCAGTCTGATTTGACTTGTTTATGCATCGTTGCATCAGCAGAACATGTGGAACAATTCTTCCTTTATTCATATCCTTTTTTTTTCATGGATATTCAATCTGCCAGCAGTGTCTAACGCAGTTTTCTAATCTAGAAGTGAATAAATGAACCTGTTTTCTACTTGCAGCTGAATATTTAGGCCTGGTGCTCTGCACAGGTGAGATGTTCAGGAGTCGGATTTGAAATCCCACTACACAGCCAAAACCATTAAACAGCCCTCGTGGACGTAATGATTGTAGGCTGTTTGTTTTTGTTGTTTCATCAGATTTAATCCAGCTGTTCCAAAGTGCCGAGGCAGCAGGGGGGTGTCTGACGATTAAGCGATTTCAACAGATGGCCATTTGCACCAAGCCCTTTGGAGGAATCTCGTCCTTCCCCAGGCTGCTATTGCTCCACACATCTGCTGCTCTGATTCCTGTTAAAAGGAAACATTGTCACCTTCTCACCCAGCTGAGGCTCACCAGTAAAGCAGGATTGCTTCTGGATTAGCGATGTTCAGCCACATGGGGATCATTGCATACACTTTAATTCTGTTCATCTGTCTTGTTGTGATCAAATCATTCCTTTTTTTTGTTGTCAATTTTGCCCCAAACCGCAACCAGTAGCAATCAACTCATGGGCCATGCTGGCACTGCTCGTCTCCTGCTACGGCGGGCTGGTATCCAAAGGCAGTTTTACCCCTGTAGGCAGTGCTTGTTGGACTCCCCTTTACGAGTTTGCAGCTCGACGCGGGACAGGGCTTGCAATGATAAAAAAAAATGGTTCAGGTGAAACGTCAGCCTGTTTCAGAGTGAGGTATCTCTCAGCTGGTTATTCCCTCCCTCTGGTTATCTGGCTGCAGTGAACTGGCATTTAAGAGTCAAATGGTGGGAGCATATTTGTGAGTGTGCGAAGGGAATAAGTTACAACCATAAATTCTGCACTGTTTAGTTTCTTTAGTCATCATGGATCCCATGAGCATGACACACTTTATTTTCTGAAACCATAATGAGGACTAAGAAAAGTTGGATGTTTCTGTATTTGGGTTGAGATAAACTTACTTTTACTCTTGGTTTGTGTTAGAAGGGGTAGCTCTTTTATCCTTATAGAGACTAAATCTAGCATGCTAACTTGTTAAAACGTTTACTCAATGTTTTATCTTCTTCTTAAAAAAAAGAGCTAAACATGGCACAGAACAGCAGAAAGGACAGATTTAGACAACCACAAAATGTTATAAGACCGGCTGCTTGGAAGAAAAATGTATTTTAAGAAATAACAATTTTTGTACAGTACTGTGTATTTTGGCAAAGCAAAATGCTGTGTGACCATGTTGTAACAAGCTTCCTCAACAAGAGAGGACAAAGAAATGAATTGTTTGGTCAGAGTAATTATTTCTATAAATTTGTTTCCAGCCCCCAGGTTCAGAAATTCTATGAGATCTTCACACTCTGTTCTTAGATCTGTCAACATGGCGGTTGCAGGATGCATTACATCATCTGAATTCTTTCAAAGGGAGCGTGGTATCTGTGGAATGATTATCATTAGGGGACAACTGGATGTCTTGTCTGGTCCGTTGGCCTCAATTAACCAAAAAGATGGATACAAATGTCATGTGGTCTTAAGACTTAGCTGGATTCCCCTTAATTCCACTTCTCTACTTGTATCTTCTTGTGCACAGGCCCAGGACAAGAGAAAAGCCCTGGAGGAGACCAAAGCCTACACCACCCAGTCCCTGGCCAGCGTGGCCTACCAGATCAATGCCTTAGCCAACAACGTCCTGCAGCTGCTGGACATCCAGGCCTCGCAGCTGCGGCGCATGGAGTCCTCCATCAACCACATCTCTCAGGTCAGAGACACACGGCGCACCACAGACCATACAGCTGTGAGGAACGGTGCCCCACATTTCCCTCCTCTACTCTCACTTCCACACAATCGTCGCTGTTTTTAATCACACCATCTGGCCCACTGAAGTATCCATGGTTCCTTTTTCTGTTTTTGTCCCTCAGCCTCATCCAAATTCTGAGTGAAAGGCTGAATGGTGGTCTGTTTCCTTCCCCTTTTCCAGCTTTTCCCCCATTCAGGCTCAAAAAACTGCAAAACATGAAACCTAAGAGATATTTTCTTTTATTTAGAAGGAGTTATGCATCAGGATATGAGCCGGATTTAGCTGCTCTGCGTCGTCTATGTGTTGCATGAGGCTTTTGCCATGTGCAGGTAAATCCAGCCGCTCATCCAATGAAGTCATTAAGAGCTCAGACAAATCAAACACAGCACTTGAGCCATTTGGCATGTCGTAAGTTTGAACTGCGGGCTGCTCACGAGTGAGGGCAGACATGTCACATAAGTGCTAAAAGTTGAGTCCTTCTGCACTCTGTCTCTTCCTCCATAGCTGAAAGTCCCATTTTAAGTGTAACGGTGGAAAAGGGGGCTTGAAATGCCTGAAGATTCGAGGCAGGGCAAAAGGGAGGTCCTGTGAATCAGACAAAGGCAGAAATAAATGAGAGGTGGATTGTGATGGGGATCTAAATGGCATATTTACTCTCCTCCAGCTTCGAGGCAACGTCCAGTCAAATCGCATTCAGCCAGTCTCAAGGTCATCAATACCCTATTGGCTGTTAGCGTCGCCTTGACAACTCCCTGAGCAACAGTGGAAAAGTCTATAAAAGACAGTTAGAGGTGGTACTTCAAATGAGCAAAGAAAGCCAGAAAATAAACCCTGAGCTTCGTTTACATTGTGGGCCGCTTTTCTCCCCGTCGTGTGTATGTTTTATGTGGGAATTTCCATACTTTCTATTCTTTATTAAGGCTCATACAGGCACAGCCACCAAGAAAATGAAGAGTCTCCTCATTTCGGCCGAGTTTGACTCTTATTGGAGTTATTTTGTAGATCAGGCTCAAAAGGCTGATTTGCTCAATATGGAAAAAAGCAGAAAAATAATACATTTAATGTTGATTTCACTGATGACCCTTGTTATCTTTAAAGCCTGGGATGCGGGGGCGTTATTTCCCTCTGACTTTTATTGCGTGGCCTTCACTGCTCATGCCCATCGACCCCTCAGACTTTGCATCAACGTCACCTTTCTATGCCGCATCCCTCTCTTCTTCTCGGTTAATGCACATCCCCCGAGGAGGGAGACGCCCCAGTATGTGCGGCGTGACACTTATAACTCTGGTCAGGGCGTGCCTGCTCGGTGGAAGCATCTCTAGGAAACGGCCCAGATCTCGCGTTGTGTTTTCTTTACGGTGGGAGGTTAGTGGTTTTGGTCCCGCTGGCTCCAGCCCACATAGTATCAGCGCGAATGCAGCCCGAGCAATAAGTCACAGAGCATTCCACGGAGCTCAAGCCACATGTGTTCACGCTCGACCATTGTGCGACAAATTCCACAGACGGTGTTGTTGTTTGTCACTGACAGTTTTTTTTAGGTTGCTGTTATAGCAAATGCCTCTCCTACAAATGATCGTCGGTGAGTGCTGCTTGATGCCGGCAAACTTTGGCAACACAGGAGATTCATATAAGTTTCAGCAAGTTTTGATAAAGTTTACCACTACTTTCTTTACATGATGCCTCAATTCAGCCAGACTCCTATTCTCTAGTAGTAGAGCCTCGAGCAATATGTCTGCAGGCTTTCTGAAAGGCCTGGAAAGTTTAGTTTTTACATCCGCCGCATATTGAGTAATTTTTATATGAATATATATTTTTTGTTAAGCCTTACCTTGACTCTGAACTTAGTCATTCAAGCAAAAAAAAAAAACATAACTCAAGGGATGAGTCCATGTCATAACTGACTCCAAAGAACCAGTTTTACTTGGTATTTTTCAGCATTGTGTAGCCTGTCAAAACACGTCATTCCTTCCATTTTCATTCCAGCTGAACTGAAAGATAACAGTTTGGGAGACACAGTATCTTGGTGGAGGTGTCGGTCTGGCTTCGCCCTCCACTCTGTCATTATCATTCAGGCGGAAGCCCCGAGGTCTGAATAGAGTAGCTCGCGGGGCTTCCACCTTGTGCTGCGTGTGAAGTGGCTGCTAAGAGGCTGTGAACAGGGGGTGCTTTGTCTGTCCGGCAAAAGAAAAAAGGCCTCGCATTCAGAGCTCGCTGTGATACCCCAAATAAAGAGGACATGGAGAAGAGTGTGTTTGTGTGTGTGTGTGTGTGTGTGTGTGGTTACCCCAACTGGCATCCAAAGCTTTTTTCCTTCCGTCTCCAACACTTAAATTGGTATTCACCAAAACAAGCCCAGACGTTTTGAGCCCCGCATGGCTCACTGTGACAAAGATTTAGGCCCGTCGTCCGCCATCCTGAGATGGGGCGTCTCAAGCTTTTCAGGAGGTGGTGTGAGACATGGAAAATGGGAGTGTGAACGAAACCTTAAATTGGTCGTGTTCTTCAAAGAATACACAAACGTCCTCTCACAGCTGAGAATAAAACTCCAAATTTTTCAATGAACTGCTTCATTAAATAAGCGTTTAATCTTAAAATGATCTTTTTTCACTTTTTGTTATATTTATGCGCTCCTCTGTATTATCCTCTTTAGATAATATTATAGCTTTGGGCTGATGAAACAGGGACACGGTGTTGTCTCTGATGAGCAGGGATGAGGCAATGAATCCATTTACAGCCGTCCCCTCTGTACTAGCAGTCCTGATGTTCCCATCACTGGTGTTTTAGTTTTCAACGTCTTAAAAGTCAAGCCATGTTGGAATGTGAAGGGACGCTTTGACAGAGTCGTTTCTGCCTCGCGCCCTGCCTCTTGTGCAGACATTCACTCACACCTCCAGCTGTGAGAGGCCTCTAAGAGAGAGGGAGCTCTGCTTTCACACCAGCCCCTCTATAATAAAAAAAACAGCAGATCGGGACATGTTTTATCTCAGTGCAATCAGGCAATGTAGCGCAGACATTTCTTTGTCCCCTGACAGATTATAATCACGTCTCAGTGGAACAGAAACTCGACATGAAGAGCTGAATGCTTTTAAAATAGGAGGTGATGCAGTTTCACCTGCTCAGACACACACACAAACACACACCCTGAGCTAAAACCAACGCTTCGTGGTGCCTCTGCATGTGGTCAGACACCTCTGAAGGCCACAGAAGGTTTGTAAATTCTTTCACATTGTCTGGTGGAACATTGTGAGTCATGACAGCAGCTCAGTGAGGGAAGAAAGACTGACTCGCCCTCATTTGTTTAGAGCGGGGAGCAGAAATACTACTGGAAGAAAAAGGAAATGAGCCGCATTAATTCTTATTATCCCATTTCATCAATGGAAAACGGAGTGTTTGTGTTTTTTTTTTTTTCTTTTGTTTTTTCGGAACCAGTCGAAGGATTTCTGAACGGCTCTCTCAGAAAAGCCTTTAGCTCTTTGTTGTGTTTACCAGCTCACACTGGTCCACAGTGACGTCTGGGCCCCCGGTTGGCGGTGAACCCGGCGGCCGCAGTGATGAGGCAGCACAACAACTGGCCCCGTGCAGAAAACAGCTGACACACACACACACACACACCGGACTCTCTCCATTTGGTTCCCACAGCCACGCTGAGCTCTTCCCCGATCACTGGACTCATGAGCTCAGCTCTGGCTGCCGCTTCTTTGTCAGGCCACTCCGCATTCCCGAGACGCACAGTTACACGTCGCTGCGCTCTGCCGCAGTGCGTGTGTGTGTCTGTGTGTGTGTCTGTGCTGAACCGTGTTAAGAGCACACTCTGTGTGAAATAGCTAGTGTGTTGCAGGGGTGACTTTTTGAACTCCTGTTGAGGAAGAATGGCACGATCCCAAACAGGATGTGACTTCTTACAGCTGTGTGTGTGTGTGTGTGTGTGTGTGTGTGTGTGTGTGTGTGTGCTTCCTGTGTTTCCTGCTGGTCCTTTCCTTGTTGTGTATTTTGGTCCATGTCATGCTTAACTCGTTGGTCTCTCCTGTTTCCTGTGAAGTGGAGACTCTTTCCAAAGTATGTTGTAGTAAAACCTGGTTGTCTCGTTCTTGGACTGTGTTTGTTTTTCAGTGTTGGAAAGTAATCTGGAGCTTTGTTTGGATTCACTTTAACTGAGCCACAAAATCTCAATTGGAAATAAATAATGTAATGTTGTGTTTGTGCTAAGTAAGAGGCATCGCTTTTAAATAGGGATGACCTGTCTATGTCACCGCTCTTTGACAACCCGGTAGTTTTTCATTAATTGTATGGAAATATTCAGGAATATTCTCCATATTGTTTGTGTCTGCAGCATAAAAAACTGGTTCATCATAAATTCTAGATGTTTGCTCTGTGGTGAGTCAAGCTGCTTTAAACAGTCTTCTAATGAGATGAGTTGTTAGCATTTTCAGCAGCAGCCCAATTCGAAGACGTGGCGTTATTTATAATGTCACTTCAGTTTTAGTGATAAGCCCAACGAGTTCTGGGCTTTAGCTGCCGCCGTTTTAGGACTTTCTGCTTCTATTTTTGTGGCACTTTTAAAAGAAGCCCTTTTAAAAACAGCTGTACGGTAACCTCTGTTATTTCAGTTTCTCTCTTTTTTTTTGACCTAACCAGAAAAGAGGCGGTCACCAAAAAGGCTGAGTCTCTGCTTCTCACAGCACTTACACGATGTGTTTGTTACCCCTCAAAGCTTTCCGTGCTTTGAACCAAAGCTGAAACAAACAGATGGATTCTTCGGTTTGTGAACAATTCATTTCAGCCCCTTACGTGCTGATTTTCAGTAAGGCAAGTCTTGGATTAGAATCTATTCAGAGATGGCATCATATGTGAGGCACTTTGCTGCTTTTTTCCACCTGGAGCTCTGAATGTGACACACAGGCTCCATCTGACCGGCCCGGATAAAGGTTAAAGGGTGGGAGGGGGTGAGGGATGATATGAAA